CACACACGCTTACAGATGCACACACACACACACACGCTTACAGCTGCACACACACGCTTACAGATGCACACACACACGCTTACAGATGCACACACACACACGCTTACAGCTGCACACACACGCGCTTACAGCTACACACACACACTTACAGCTGCACACACACACACACACACACACGCTTACAGCTGCACCCACACACACACCTGTACCTCCACGTGGGTGAATAGCCATACACCTGCATATCTGCGTGCCCACACACCCGCACACTTGCACACCCACACAGGCTTACAGCTGCACACACACACACACACACACACACACACACCTGTACCTCCACGTGGGTGAACACCCACACACCTGCATATCTGTGTGCCCACACACCCGCACACTTCAAACCTCGCACCCACACACCTAAGCCTCTACGTCCCTGTACACAAACAGCTGTGCATCCATGAACCCGCACACTCACGCCCCGTGCGCACACCTGCACCTGTGTGCTTCTGCATAGCCTCAGTCTTTGCACCTATACCTGCACACCCACCTGCCTGTGCAGCCATGCCTGCGTCCGTGTGCACGTATTTACACACTTATATACCAGCGCACCCACACCACGCACCCGAGCCTCTACACCTTCACTCTCATACACCTGTTCCCCTACACACCCAAACATCTGTATACCCCCACACACATACCTACACACACACACACACACACACACACACACACACACACTCATCAACACATTTTTTCCATGAACATATGCACAACTTTCCAAATGGAATTTCTGAGACTTCCTGGAAATATTTGTTGCAAACAGCAAAGATCTTTTTAAAAGTATTTCTTCATTATAACACTAGTAATCGGGTAATAATCCTTTGGCATTTTTAAAGCCCGTTTTTCCTGAGGGGGCCTATTTTCCATTTGTATAATCAAATCTTTATTTTATGACCCCTTAAACTAGTAGGAAATTGGAAGGTTGCTTTGTTCAGATGCGAGAAAACAGAAGCATAAAACATAAATAGGAGCCGAAGCCGCAGTATGTGGATGGTTTATACTCGTAACAGCGTCCTGGTGGCAAATGAATGCTCTCTGCCGTCGTGGGCCGCTATGGTCATCCCTGAGGTCCGGCGAAGGGAATTCAAATCCCTGGAAACTTCCTCAGCCCACCTCTGGAGCTCTTGGGGAAGCCCAGCAGAGGCGGGAGAGCCAGGCTGCAGGGCTGGGGTGTACCCAGCCAACACAACCTTTGCACGTTGGCTGTGCTGCGGGAAGCGGGCGAGAGGTGGAGACGTACAGGCTGGCTCACAGTAGAGGCTCGGAAGGCAGATGGTGTGTGCGCCTCCCTCTCCTGGCGTGTGCACTTGGCCTCGTGGACGTGGTGAGATCTGCTTTCCGGAGATCTTGGCCACAGTGTGAAGGAGCAGGGTTAGAGAGCCACAGAACCACAGCTAGAGGCAAAAGCAGGCACCTGAAGAGGAAGCGGCAAAGGATGGAGCTGGATCGCTGTGGAGCTTAGGAGCTCGCAGACAGGTGCCAGGTGGAAGTTGGGGTTGAAGAGTGGCTCAGAGACTTCAACAGGCCTGCACAGTCGCCCTCTCCAGGTCTCTGCAGCCTTCGAGTTTCAGCAATGGAAGCAAATGCTGCCCTTCCACGGGCTGGGACTCCTCTGTTCGCTGAGTGCAGGGGAAGGGCCGTCTAGGGTCCTGCCTTCAGGCCACCTCTGATTGTCATAGTACAGCTCTGCCCCCCACCATAGCCCCAAGAATCCCTTGGGAGTTGAACACACAGTTGACAGCCCACTTAACACAGATGTGCCTACCTGTACAGAATGGGCCCTGGAGCGTTGCCTTGGAGGTCTGTGCGGGGTTTTCCCCTCCTGGGAAATCCAGTGGGACTGCAGGTCTGGACACAACCTGGTTTCCACGGAAGCTCTTGCACCCTTCCTTGACCATGCTTAGCAATAAAGGCATCGTGGGTGGGAAAGTGGAGGAAGATGTCTGCTTCTTGCTTCGGTAGGCCGAGGCCACCTGGGAATGTGTGAACTAAGGCTTGGCTACATGCTGCGTATTCCTGGAGTCTGTCACAAGCTTCCCTTGTTCCTGGAAGGCTCTCGTGTCCAGCCTTGTGCTAGGCGTGTGCCGATGATGTCTGGCATGGCCACAGCCTGGAGAAACGGGAAGCAGACTCCAAACCATCCCCTCATCCAGTAGCCATCGCTGTAGGCTCCTCCTGTGTCAGCAGGGCAGTGAGAGCCACGCGGAACTCACCTGTCTAGAGGATCTCTTTACACACCCGAGGCACAGCAGGGTGGCAGGTCCAACCCACGGCCTGCACCACGGAGAAGATGCACTGGATTTTTCCTCTCTTTGCAGGATAAAGATTGAAGAGGAATATGCAAAGAACCTGGCTAAGCTCTCTCAGAACTCCTTGGCTGCCCAGGAGGAAGGGTGAGTCAGGAGGAAAGGGGTGGGGGGGGGGGATGAGGGGACACAGAGGAGGGGATCCTTACTGCTGTATCAGCAATGCTGCTCACCTGGGATGGAGAGATTGCTGTAGGTCAGGCTCACTGGGGTCTGTGCCTGTTGGTCATCGCCCGAGGTAGGTCCTCATTGCTTAAGGTAGGCGGCACCCATGGCTCAGACAGGGGACGGGTAAAAAAGGTGAACACCCCTGCCTGGCTCAAAATGGGTTTTCATGGCCCAGGATCCAGACTCGTGGTTCAAGACTGGTACTCAGGACTAGATGTTTTGGCCTCTAACCTCAGCACACTGGTGGCTGAGGAGTGGGAGAGTAATTTGGGCCAGCCTGGGCTACAGAGCAAGGCCCTGCCTCAAATAAACAAAAATCCTCATGCTCATGGCTCAAGGTGGCACCTATTGTCTGAAGTCTGGGTAGTCAGGCTCGAGGTTTCTCCCTTCTACGTTTTCTTTTCCCGTAGTGACTGGGGCCTCCGAGGTGCTGGAGCACAACACAGACCCTCTGTGCTGTGCCCTGCGGCTGGACAGCAGCCTCTGGGTGCCCAGCTCTGTTCCCCTTCTTCTGGGTCAGGCTAAGAGGAAACTGGGTCTGAGAGTTTCATATCCAGCCTCTGAGAGTGCATGTAGAGCCCCAGTCCAGAAGATGGGACTAAGGGGCTCTCTGAGCCACGCAAGGGTCTCCAGTGGGAGAAATCCTACAGGGCTGGCCGCCTTCTCTGCTGTCTGTCTACAGAGCCCTGGCCCTCATGGCCTCCAATGGCACAGCTACTGTGGAAAATAGCTTGAAACTCCCCCAAGAGATGAGTGCCTTCCTTCCTAGGCTTATTATCCGCAAATGAATCAAAAGCGAGCACGCTTGGAGTATCACTGGTCACAAAGACCAGATGGTGGGGAAAACCCAAATTCCATCAGGAGATGAACAGGTGCCCAAACTGAGGTGTACTCACAATGGGTGCCCATGGGTGTACTGTGGGGTACATTCACCCATAAAAAGGAATAGAATACTGAGACCCGCTACTTATGGATGAACCTCAAAAATGAGACGCTAAGTGAAAGAAGCCATCCAGATTGGGTCACAGAGTGCATCGTTTCATTCATATGAAACTTCCGGAGTAAGCAAAGCCACAGAGACACAGCCCACTAGTAAGTGATAAAGAGGGACACGAGGACTGGTAGCTAATGGGCACCTCTTTTCATTCTGGGTGTGTATGTGTCTGCTGAGGCTGCTGCAACAAAACGCCACAGACTGAATAGCTTAAACTATAGGAATTCACCTGGGCATGACTGTACACATCTGTCTGTAGTTACCAACTCTCAGGAGGCAGAAATGGGAAGCTCATGAGTTTAAGGCCACCCTGGGCTACATAGTGAGATCCTACCAAGAAAAAGAATACAAAAAGCTTCTATTTTGTCTCAGTTCTCAACAATGGAAGTTCAAAGTCAAGGTTCTAGGAGGGTTGGTGTCTGACCTGAGTTCTCCCTGTGGTCACAGATGGCTGAAAGTCACTGTGTGCTCACATACCATCCTGCATGGGCAGGGGTTGGGGAGCGAGTCCTGTGGAGACAATAATCCTATTGGATCAGGGCTCTGCCCTCTCACCTTAGCTACTGTTCCACCCCACATCCTTGATCAGAGTTTCAAGATATGAACCAGGAGCCTAAAGAGGCCAGGGGAACCACAAACTTACATTTATGATAGGGTGATGAAGTGTCTGGAGCCATCAAGGGCAGGCCATTCTGCACTGTGGATGTTGTAAACAGTTTTCGTTGGCTCACCTTAAACTGGATGATTTTATCATGTGTGATTTCAACCTCAAAAAAAAAAATAGATCAAGGTTCCTGAGAAGTTAGTACCCACAGGATCCTCAAAGGCCCCCCTGTTGGCCCACCACCCTTCTGAGGTATGGCCACTGGGGTTATAGCTATCAGGGAGCTGTGACAGTGAACCAGCTCTAATCTGCCTGGTGGCTGGAGTCGGCCTGGGACAGGGATTTTGCCAACTGAATATGGTTTTGATTAGGGCTTCTTGTATGCTGACTGCACCCAGGCTACCCCCTTCCCATCAGCCACGGGTTAACCAAACAAGGCCCATGTCCTTCTTCAGACCCAGACATGGTTAGCTGGCATCTGGCCTTTCCTGCAGCTTTCTCAGCCCTGCAAGGCAGGAAGCACACAGGAAGTAGCCCTGCCACCAGGGAGCGTGGCTTCCTACGGGTTCCTGCGCTTGGCATCACTATGGCTCTGGAGCCTTCCTGCTTCCACCCCCTCGGCTTGGGCTTCTGCCAGGGACATTTTGTCCTGCCAGCACACAGCATATGCTCCCAAGCTAAGCAGCAGCTCCTCGTGCCAGACCCGAACACAGGAGCAAACTCTACCACACAAGCTCAGGTACAGTGCATGTCGCTCCACCGACAGACACAAAGCGCCACAGCCTTCGGCGCAGCTCTGAACATTTGGCCCAGTGCATCCTGAAGGCTGTGTGGAGATGTGGGAGCTCTGAAACCAAGGGGCAGTCAGGGTACAACTGAGCCATTTGGCAGCGTAGGTCCTCTGTCCAGATTAGATGTCGCAAGACTGCATGATGGTGAATCAGCAGCCTTCGGTCTTTCATTCCTCAGCCACCTCGTGTGTGGGAAGACAGTGAGATGTTGGTCTTTCTTGCTTGGCAGTTTTGACAGGAGCTTGCGTTTTGATCTGGCATGCCTCAGACTGTACCTTGAGATAGAAGAGTACCCAACACTTCCATCTACCTCCTTCCCATCAGAAGCCATCTTCAGATGAGAATTCGGATGGCTTTTCCCCAAACATTTAAAATGTCTTCTTAATTAGCACGTATTCATTTGGACATATTGGCAGGGCCCAGTGTGGTGCTTTCATACATTGGAAGTGTCTTGGGATACTGAGGAGAGGGGGACGTAGGCATGGGGCTGAGGCAATTTGAAAGTGAGGAGAGACACCCCTCACCTGGGTCATGCTAACCCCGAAAGTAGGGCTGCAGGATGTCCAGCCCTACTTTCCAGCCCTGTCCAGGATGGGGATGGTGCCGCTTCCCTAATGCCCAGTATCCCTGAGCTGTCATACCCGGCTCTATCCAGTTACCCCCGTGCTCTGCTGGCAATGGATTTACCGCCCCCTCCCAGGGCCCTTGCAGACTCCTGTATTTCCAAGACCAACTCCTATGGCAGCACCGCCTCACTTCAGTAATGGTGATGGCTTATTGGCTGTCAGTTTGCAGCTAGGATCTGCGCTGAGATGCTGTGTGCATGGTGTGAGGTGATGGTCAAGGTTCGTTCTTGCCATGTCTCCACGCCATCTCCTGAGAGCTGCCTGTGGACTAGAGCTGGAACTCAATGGCAGAGCATTTGCCGGATATGTGGGAGGTCTTGGGCTCCAGTCTCTAGTGAAATATGCAGCCACGCCCTTGAGGCTCACTAGCCCGCCTTCTCTCTGGTCTCTGTGTCCCGACCCTTCCGTGTTGTCGTAAGTGGATAACTTAAGAAGAAAAGAAATTGCTTATGGCTCTGAAGGCGGAGAGGCCCATGATCAAGAGCATCTAGAGAGCGCTTACACACCGCCCTACCATGTGACAGGAGCCACCACATATCACAGCAAGGGAGGCGGCCAGGGCAGGGCCCCCAAGCATTTTGTTATGGCCTCGAGAGTCTCTTCATACTGCTGTGACAGGGATGGAGTCGGCCACATGGGCTCTGAGGGGACAGCTTCAGGTCACCCGATCCATGTAGCTGCCACAGCAGCTTCCACTGTGGAATGAGCTAGGGGAGCCTACAGGCCCCACAGGCAAAGGCAAACGTCCACAGCATGCTCACCCCAGACCCCCCTAGTCTCTGTCTGAGAGGACCCCAACAGCATGCTTCCTTCTTCCTGACTCTAAAGGTACCGCTTGATAAATTCTCATGAACGTCCACCAAGGCCAGGCTAGCACTGCCACCAGCCAGGTGGAGAACTGGATCACAGGAACAGAGCTGCTAGCTGCTGGCTCGGACCCTGGAAGCAGTGCTCTGTCCCAGTGTCTTCTAATCAGCCCTTGCCGCTGACAGTTAATTAATTTCCTGGGGCAAGCAGCTGTCCCGTCAAATGCAGTCAACTGGCTGGGTGAGAGGTCAAGAGAAGGAGCCAGGAGTCTGGTTTAGAATGGTCATGGGGCTGAAGGGTCCATTAATGAATTCTTTGGAAGTTTCTGGGACTTGGAGGGAATGGCTTCTGTTTGGAGCACCTCCTTGGAGCAGACGGATGGCACAGTTTAGAATGCATTCTGCGAGCCACAGTGGGGTGCACAGTCCAGAATCTGCTAGAGAGAAACCATGCCATGCAGATGGCTAGAAGAACCCTCTCAGGGTGGGGCTGCGCCTGGGATGTCCCTGGACCCAAGTGGACCATCTGTGCCTCTCTTGGAGGCCAAGTGGCTGAGACCTGAGAGCTGGCTGCTAGGGAATGGCCTTTGAAAATGAATCTCTGGTTCTCTTCCTTTGGCTACTAGCGTATATTGTCTCCTCAGCAGCAACCAAGGTGTGCCGTGGGAAGGCTCTGGGGACAGTGATGGCCAGATAGCAACCCCACTTCAACAAGGGCTGTGGAAAGCCACCCCACCTTGCACCTCCCGAGTCCTTGGGTACCTCTGGGTTCCAGATATTTCCCCTGACACTGAGCTGTTTGTTGCTCTCTTAGATCCAGAAGCAAGACTGGCTCACCTTGGCTGTGATGGCTGAGTCTAGCCTCATTCAAGCCCACCGACTTGAGTGTTCTATACGTCCCTAAGACATGGAGCTGAGAACCACCATCCCATCTCAGAAAGGGCCGTAGCTTTGGGCCAGAGCTCTCCTCCCGCCCTCAGGTCTAACAGCCCCCTTCCTGTTGCAGCTCTCTGGGAGAGGCCTGGGCCCAAGTAAAGAAGAGCCTGGCAGATGAGGCTGAAGTTCATCTCAAGTTCTCCGCCAAGGTAAGCCTCCTGCCTCTCCAGGGTTAGACCAGGAGAGAGAGTTACCGGATCTCTCTAGCTTACCCTGCTTGCCATTTTCTGAGGTTCCAAGTCCCCTGATACAGAGTTGGGAGGCTACGCCCATAGCTGACCGAGAGACAGCGTCTCCATTGAACTGGCAGCAGCAGAAATGACCACAAGTGTGGACAAAAAGCACAGATATAAATGCATTGTCCTGAGAAACGATTGCCACGTTTCTGATACTGACACTTAATATAATTTGAGTTTGTTTCATTTCTCTTTAATCACAGCTCTTTGAACAAGCAGCTCGCAGTGAGCTCTTAGGAGCCATAGAAGGCAGACTGGGGTCTGTGGGGTAAGAGTGGACATGGTCAGGTCCACTCAGGTGATCCCCAGTCTCCCTTTGTCGGTTTCACTGGATTGCCACGGCAGTGAGCTCTGTGTCTGGGAACACTAGGCTGTGGCCGGGGGAAGATGCTTTAAAACTGATTTGTTGTTGCAGAATTGTGTCGCCCCCTTTCATCTGCTTCCAGAGATACTAAGATCAGGAGTTTTTGAGTTCATGCAAGAATCTGTCCTGCTCACTTCTCTACAGTCAACACTGAACACCTTGTAGGAGGCGCTAAATAGATACCTTCAGGAGAAGTGAGCAAACAAAGCCCTCTGGCCATTTCCTCCCTGCCCCAAGCGTTTCAGTGCTGTTTTGCCTCGGGATTTCAAAATGAGCCTGTAGTCTTTTCTCCTTATCTATCTCCACATTTCCTCTCAGACTCTCAGCTCTTTTTAAGTGAAAACTAAACTAAGTGTCTCAGTGAGATAATTCATGCTAAAGCATGCGTGACTGGTGGGTTTGCCCAGCAGCATGCCTTCCTTTTAAAGGAAGAGAAGCTTTTGGGAGTGTCACCCAGCATCTTGACTGCCTCTCCCTTCCCTCTGACCTCCTGCCACCAGCCGCCATCCACAGCAGCCTTGTCCTGTGGGTTCAGGCATTTGAGCCCCCTGAGCCCTCATGGTTAAGTACCAGCTTTGTCATTTGTGCTCCAAGGCATGCTGCTTCCTGAGGCTGCCCCAGTCGCCGCTAGCCAGTGCCCTCTTTGCAGTGCCATTTCTGCTCGTCGTTGCAAGTCCCTACATCCGGGCCCTTGAGCTATACACACTCTTGAAAGACAGGAATATGTCGCCCAGCCCAGCCTTCCCTCTGTGGCAGCCCAGTGTATGCAGAAGGGCAGAACAGCTGACGCAAGGGTCTGAGACCACGGGAGAGCTTTGTGCTGCTCTGGCTTCTGAAGGATGTGAGTGCCTGAGACAGACCCGGCACCCACCACCAGTCCCTAGTGAGTGGCATTTCCCAGCTCAGACTAGCATGCTCACCCCATGCACCCAAACCCTTCCCCAGCACACTGGCACAGAGCCCCTTGGGACGGAGCTCCTGGACTGCTGCTTTCAGCGACACAGATGAAACAGTGGGTTATTGTTAAGCCATGGTTCATGAGTAGCTTCCCTCCTAGGCCTCCCTCATCTTGTCCTGGCCCTGCAGTATCGCTGTTTCTCCCCCAACCCAAGGTGGAGGTAAGGCCTCCATCAAGAGGGGGATGGCAGCACTACACTCAGGAAAGAACCCTAACTGAAGGGACTTTCTCGCAGGGAGTGCCAACTGTGGGTACAGACTGGGTTTCCAAACACTCAGGCCATTTTAAGCAAGGCTCTCAGGCTCTCAGGCTCACAGACCCCGGGGCTAAGGATGGCTCACAGAGAAGGGGCGTGAAGATATGGCAGACCTCATACCATCAGCCTTCTGCCGCTTCTGGCCTGGGTGCTATTGGTGGCTGCAGGCTATCCCGGTAGCCTCCTAATGGGGGCATGGTGATTTCTTAAAGAGGAAGAGGACCCCTGAGGATTGATCTGTCAGCCTTGAAGAATACTGTTCTGGTGGCACAGAACCTATTTTATGTCACCTCCAAAAGGTTTATTGAAATTCTTCTCCATCCAAATGCTTGGTGTAAAAGCCTCTTAAGAAATGGGACTGCGTCCAACAGGCTCTCCAGCCTTCCCCGTCTCCCAGCTCAAGCCAGCAGGTGCTCATAACAACCGCAATCACAGGAACCTAGCTCGCTCTATCGGCAGGCAGTTAGGGCTGGCCCCAGCCAGAGAGGGGAGCCTGGACACGCTCCTCCTGATGGGAGGAGACCTGAGCACGCCGTAGGGAGTGTGTGCTTGGGCAGATTTGTGGCCAGAAGGGTGAGTGTGTGCCCAGCACTGTCGCTAGCAGGCTTTGTGAGCATGGCTGGGTCGCTGGGCAGCCCCACAATCCCATTCCTTCATGTGTGAGATGAGGGGCTCCAGCCACGTGTGGCTTTAACCTCGCCCGCCTGTGACGTGTTACCAAGCACATGTCTGAAGCTAAAACAGACGCTCTGTGACATACTAATTTCATTCTGCCTCAAATGTATCCTAGTGTTTTTCTTTTTTCTCACCAAGTTGGGTTTATTATCTCTCAAAAGAAGAAAAATGGCCCTGACCACCAAGTTCATTTCACGACTGCCATCACTCACCACTTAGAAACAGTTGGGTCAGACAGTCACTGAAATCATTTCCAGCTTGGAATTTCTCTTCTTCAGTTCTGACATGTGATGAGAAAGGAAGGAGAGGCCCGCCAACCAGTTCCTCTAGCACAGCCCATCTGGTACGGGCCGGACCCGCTACACACCCCAGAGACACACTTTCAGGAAAGATCACCGATGCCAGGCATAAAAGGAGGTTCCAGAGCAGAGAATGAATCTTAAAAAGACACCAAGTAGATGTTTAAATATATATATGTATATATATATATATATATATATATATATATTTATATGTGTATACAATATACATACGCATATATATTGGTTTTAGTAAGTCCTTAATATATGGGCTGGAGAAGTAGCTCAGTGGATAAAGCACTCAGCCCACAAGTGTGAGGACCTGAGTTCGAGTCCCCCAGACAGGAACCTTGGTGTGTACAATAAAAACACTGCAGTTCACGGCCACAGCCTTGGAGCCTTGCTGAGATGTATCAGGCGGTGTCCGGGGGTGTTGTGTGGTGTGACGAGGTGCACAGTACAAAGGGGCTTGTATTTTCAGAGCCAAGGCTGCTGCGAAGCCATGTAATGTGACTCCGACAGATGAGGTTCCTCACATGTTCAATTTTGAATTAACTTTTGGTTGTGGCATCTTGTTAAACTTTGCCCCGTTATGAAGGTTGTGTAAGACCCACATTTACCCATGGGGGGGGGCAAACCACAGCTTAAGAACCTGGGGGTTAAAAGAAGAACTCTCAAGTCTTGGGTGATCTCCAGAGAAAAGACAATGTCACACACACACAACCCTAAGCTGGAGGGGAAGAGAAAAGCCACAGAAGCCCAGAACTAGAGAGTCGTGTTTGGGAGACAGAGCTGGCCAGCCACAGGCACCTATGGGACAGCTGGAGGTCGTGCTGAGGGTCCTCAGGGGACTGGCACAGTGGGGTCACAGAAGGCTGACTCCGAGCAGTGTCAGAAAGCTCCGGGAGGTTGGGTGTGGGGCAGGGGGAGCACCAGGCTGTCCCCTTGGCTGACCAGACAGGACTTACTGATCCCTGTTCTTGCCAAATAAATACATCATGCTTCAAGCTTACAACCAAAACAGATATCTTAAAATAATCTCTAGAAAGCATGACATGAGGTGGAAGAGACGGAAGGGTTGAAAGAGGAAAAGAGGGAGAGAGAGAGAGCTTTAAAACCAGATGCCACCAGCTCTTCTCATGGCAGAGAATTCTTTCTTGGCCCTCTCAAGGAACAAGAGGACAGTTGCCTAGAGTCAGGACAGGGTGTGTGCCTGACTCCCGCTGGCGTGAAATAGAGAAAACACTCTTTAACACTGCTCAGGACAGTTGTGCCAAAGGGCCTCCCAACAACTCCTGCCACAGTTGCCTGGAGGTCTGACCAGGCCCAGGTCATCTCTGTCCTCCAGGTACCTGGCATGCAGCAGATGGCCAATAAATAGAAACAATCTCAGATGACCTGAATGATTGGCAGCCTTTCCAGTGTTCTGCTGAGCTTCACACAATGGTCCCTATGCTCAGTGCCTGGCAACACAAGCAGGTGACATGGTCTATCCACAGAGGGCTCCCAATTTGGAAAAGGCAAGAGAAGAGGACGCCCAAAGAAAGCTATAAGAGACAACTACATAGCGAGACACAAATAAGTGAGGTACCCACGCCAGGGTTCCTCGTGCGGCTGTCCCTGCACAAGCCGCCAAGCATCAAAGATGGCCATTTGAAAAGCAAAGAAGCTGTTTAGAGGCACAGAGGAGGAAGGAGTGAGCTGGTGAGGGAACTGGGAAGTTCTGGGCTACCAGAGCGGCAGTGGCACAGCTCTGCCACCTGGAGCCAAGGTAGCCGCAAGCGCTGATAAGGATGTGCAGCTCTTTGGCTTCCCCTCCACCCGGGCCACCGCCCACGGGCCTGGCTTCCACGGAAGGTGGATGGTCTCGCTCCCTCGCCAGCACAGCTAGCACAGCTAGAGCCTTGGTGCTGACTGGGCCTCCTTCGTCCTCCACAGCTCCACAGCGAGGTGGAGAAACCCCTGATGAACTTCCGGGAGAACTTCAAAAAGGACATGAAGAAGTGTGACCACCACATCGCTGACCTCCGCAAGCAGCTGGCCAGCCGCTATGCCTCTGTGGAGAAGGTGAGAGGCCAGGGGGGACCTCGGCGGTGGACAGTTGGGGTCCGCTAGGACAGGATGGGTCAGAAGCCCTTGTCCTCGTATGCTGGAGTGGAGGGGGAGTTCAAGGAACCCCCATCTATCCAGGGGGCAGGCGGAAGCTGCTATGGTCAAGTGCAAGCACGGAGAAGGGGTGGGTGAAGTGGGGCTACAGTGGGCACATGGGACAAAGCAACCCCTAGTTCTGTGAAGGCCAAGTCCGGTGTGCCACAGCTACGCACATGGCAGCTCTGCTGGGCCTCACCTTCAGGTGTTCCCCAAACTAATCTCCCCTCCCTGGTGTGCAAAGAATCGCCTTCCTGTGGGTGGCCATACCGTTGGAGACAGGGACAAGCAATCTCCCCAGTGGCTATCTTGGTGCCCTACAGAACAGCAGTGGCAAACCACCGCAGGTACCCACCAAAGGCTGAGAGTGGATGATGATGGGGGTGGGGATGGGATGATGATAATGATGATGACGATGATGATGATGATGATGATGAATCGGGCACAGTAAAGACTGAAGCTGTAAGATAAGTTGGCACTCACAGCCTGTTGTGTACTCCTAGGAGGGAAACTCTGTGGTCCCTTCCAACCCCGAGAAACAGTGTTTTTTTATATTTATTTATATTTATTTTATATGTATGATTGTTCAAATGCATGTCTGTGTGCCATCTGCTTGCCTGGTGTCCTTGGAGATTAGAGGGCATTAAGTCCTCTAGAACTGGAGTTATGGGTTGTTGTGACTTGGTTCCCAAGTCAGTGCTGGGAATCAAACCCTGTGTCCGTTGGCAGGACAAATGTTCTTAACTGCTGAGCCAACTCTCCGGCCACAGAGACAGTGGCTTTTAGGGCCACGGTAAAGGCACATGCTCTGGAGCCAGCACGGCCTCGGGGACAGACAGTTCACATGCAGGCGTGTTTGGAAGAGGGCGGGTAAGAAAACCCCAGCTCGCTGCCAGCGCTCTGTCTCCTGCACACTGGGATGCCATCATCAGCATCATCACCCATACAGGCAGGGAAGCTGATCATAGGTAGATGCATGGTGGGGCCCTGGAGCCTCACTGCAGCTTCATGAAGAGCTTCTCTGGGCCCCTCCCCACTCCAGGCCCGCAAAGCCTTGACAGAGCGGCAGAAAGACCTGGAGATGAAGACCCAGCAGCTGGAGATCAAGTTGAGCAACAAGACCGAGGAGGATATCAAGAAGGCGCGAAGGAAGTCCACTCAGGCTGGTGAGCCCATGGTGTCCTGGCTACACCAGCCCAGGGGGAGGGCCAGTTCTTCCAGCTCTTCAGGCTTCCATTCCTGTGTCCTTCCCATCTTCCTCCTTGAAGTGTTCCTCGGGTCCCTCCTTGCCCCATATCCAGGGATCTCAGGAAGCTGGCAAGCTACTCCAAGGTTTCCCAAGCCCTGGATCTGGGCCCAGAGATTGACAGACAGGTTTCTCCATACACCAAGAGCTCAGGGCTGTGTGCCTTTCCTAAGAGTGCAACCCCAGCCCACCCATCCAAGGTGCTCAACCCCACAGGGAGTTGGTTATACTGTGGAAGAGAGCTCCTGCCCTGAGGACAGAGGCCAGCTTTTGGCTTTAAAAGCATCCTTATTTCTGAATTTGCCCACATTGCTCCAGTGAGCAGGTTTCTGCTGCCCTCTAGTGGTAACAATTAGCTGATACACAAGACCCATAGAGACGAGAAAAATAACTTTCTCCAAGATGCCAAGTCTCCCGGCAAACGCAGCACATCTGCCTCTGGATTTAAGACTTGTATTGTGCAACCAGGGCTGGGAGATCTTTACACATCCTTCCCTTTGATTTCTGATGAACTTGCTGCAATTTGAATCATCCCAGAATAAAGTAGCTACCTTAGTCCCCGTACAACAATGTGGGATAGAAACCAGTTGACAAAAAGTAGATACAGAGTAGCACATCCTGGGTCCACAAACATTTTTTATAATTTCCTGACATTCGTTTTTTGTGAAGGGGAGGGGAACCGGAAGAGGAAGACATGGATTCAAATTAATTCACTATACTGCAAAACAGCAACAGCAGTTATATGGACACCGTTTCCATCAGTACAATGTCGGTCGCCAGAAACAATCCCCAAATAATTCTCTGAATCCGTATAAACTGGATCGTATTATGCCCTATCTTTGGGCTTCTTTTTCAATTACCATATCTTAGCAATAGCCCCCATCTTGTTCCCTCTAAACCACTTTACACATCCATTCATAAACATCAGATGCTTTTATTTGTATTGCTGTCTGTATTTTACCGTGGTGCTGCTGAGAGGACTCGAGACCTAAGTAGGAATTACATCCCCACTGGGCTGCAGCTCCAGCCCCAAGGACTGTTTCCAAATTTATTCTACCGTTCCTTCGATAGAGTTGTGAGATTTTGAGATTGTTTCAGAGTGTTTGCCCAGGACCAGGGATGCTCTGTTTGCTACTGGAATTGTAACCCTGCTTATGTAAGACCAGAGTCTCATATAGAGAGAATGAAGATGCTGGGTCAGAAGGTTTGACTCATTTTGGACAGATATTTCCAAATTGCTTTCCAGAGAGGGCTCCATGGCTCACACCTATGAGTACGTCTTCCTTGAATGTTCATCAGCACTGCCTATTATCAAACTTGAAATCACTGCTGTGCTGACAACAAAAAAATACTATTTTTCTATTACTTTGCACTTCTCTATAAGAGGGTTGAACATTCTGAAAATACATTCATGGATTTTTTTTTTTTTACCTCCTTCCTTCCCCCCAGCCCCATGAGCTAAGGAACTCAGATTCTTTCCCCATTTTCTTGTTGAATTCTGTATCTCGTTCTTAGTGACTAATTCACAGGCTGAATATGTGTTAGGGAGACTCACCCCAGGACATCTGAATTGCAAATATTTTCCTGTGGTTATCATTTGTCTTTTCCTTTTGTTCTTTGAAGAAAAAAAGAAAGTGCTGTGGCTGTGGGGTGTGTGTGTGTGTGTGTGTGTGTGTGTGTGTGTGTGTGTGTGTGTGTTAACTTGCCTGGTGTCTGCTACGTGTTCTCCGGGTCGTGGTGCACTCTGTCTCTGCCGTGTCTGGGTTCGCAGACGGCAAACTTGGAGAGGCTGATGTCTCTTCCCTCTCGTTCCTTTTCTTCTCCTCCCTCAACTTTCACAATGCAGCTGGGAGGAAGGATGTCCGTATACCCGGGGGCTCTGACTTCAAGTCATGACCTCAGCCATGAGAAGCACCAAGCTGTCTATCTGGTCTCCACCCCAAGCACCTTGCACACACAGCTAATGATGGCAGATCTAGGCTGGCCGTCCTGGCATCCTGGTTTCCAGAATCTACTCTCTCAAGCAGCACTTTGAGAAAGGGTCTGGTCTCCACTTCTCGGGCTGCCGTTAAAAGGAAACACCTTCCCACGTACCACTTTCTGGTGCCGCAGATACTCTGAAAGATGCTCTCAAAGTCTCACAGTTGACGTATAGGGCACAGGAGCCTCATGGCCTCTGTTCACAGGGCAGCAGGCCCCACGGGGCAGGTGAGGTCACCCGGGCAGATGCTGCTTGGACTGACGGGGTAGTCATTGACCTGGGCCAGGAACAAAATGAAGAAAACACTCAGCACAGCTGTTCCCCAGCAAACAGGACTCGTGGTATAGCTAACAGGTCCCGATGTGAGGCTTCTGAGTGGGTCTTGAGTTAAATGAACGAGTCGTCTTCATTTTCCTCCACTTTTCCATCAGAAGACCCATGAGTAAGAGTTATGCCAAAAGCCAGGTGTGGAGACACACACCTTTGTCCCAGCACTTGGGAGGCAGAGGCAGGTGGATCTCTGTGAGTTCCAGGCCGGCCTGGTCTACAAAGCGAGTCCAGGACAGCCAAGGCTACACAGAGAGACCCTGTCTCAAAAAAAAAAATTAAAAAAGAATGACCCTGATTCTATTCAAATGGCTGGATTCTGTTCTGAAAATCACTAGAATTTCCTGCAGATGCATTAGGGTGAGTCAGTTGGCTCTGGGATTTGCCTCACAAGCTTCTCCCAACACGAGCTGAGGCCAGGATGCACCGTTCTCACCAGGGCCGCACTTGTACCAGGGCTGCAGAGTGATCTCCACAACACAGGCTGCTGTGTCGGGATTCAGAACGCTGTCCCCTTCCTCTCCCGTCACACTGGCACACACACACACACACACACACACACACACACACACACGCACACACGCACTCACACACGCACGCACATGCTTGCACACGCATGCGCACACATGGCCTGCAAACTTCTCTCTTCGGGGAGAGAGAAGACACGGAGTACTCTGCCTGGGTCTCGCATACACTGGGCAGCCATTCTTAGCCCTAAGCTACATCCTCACGCTGCCCAGGCTGGTCTTGAACGTCACGTGTAGCCCAGCCCCACCTCAGACTTTCAGTCCTAAAGCCTCAGGCTCCCAGGTTCTGAGATTACAGATGTGCACCACGGCACCCAGATGTGAGTGTCACCTCTTAATGCCCCTGCCGGAGCTCTTAGGGTCTGTGGTCGGGTTCAGATAGGAGCACCGAGGCTCGTCTCCTACGTTTTACCTCTCACCCATCCTCTCCTCGCTCTTCCTCCTCCCCATTCCCTGACTTGCAATGACCACCACAACCCTGGGAGAGGGACAGCCATGACCATGGGCACAGACAGGGAAGGGCAGCCCTGGGGGAAGCAGGGTGGCGTGTGGCAGGGCATGACGGTGGCTGTTGCGTTTCCCAGGAGATGACCTCATGCGCTGTGTGGACCTCTATAACCAGGCCCAGTCCAAGTGGTTTGAAGAGATGGTGACCACCACACTGGTATGTGATCAGCACTGTGTGAGCGTGCGGTAAAGAGGCTGACACACCGGCAGCCCTGGGCAGGGCACTGTGGTCATGGGAGGAGGGAGTGGGGAAACAGCAGAGACAGTCACTAGGGCCCAGCCCTCAGTCTGTCCTGCCCGTGGAATCCAACGCTGCTCCAGCTCTCCCTGCTCTGTGAACTCAGCAAGGGCCAGGTCTTGCTCTATTCCCCTTGGTCTGTGTGCTGAGAGGTCGGGGTCTCCAGGAACTTCCTCAGCGCAGTGCAGTGATCCATGGCCCTGCTGGGATAAATAGGGAAGCATTGAAAGCAGTTGATCTCTCCCCAACACACGCAAACACACTGGGAACCTCAGGTCCTTGGTAAAGGGGTCCTTATGAGACATTTGAATGGGGGGGGCAGGACTAAGTTGCTGCAGAGGGGCTGGAACAGAAGACCACGCGGAAGGCCCTGCATGCTACCCTGTGTGTTCCTTATTGAGGATCAGCCATCTCTCCCTGGTGGCCGGAACCTGCCCGGGAGTGCATGGCTGGCAGTTGGAACAGGTGGGAGAAAACAGGCAGGTGGAACAGGCATTAGCATCATGCCTGTCGCTCGTCCTATCACCCCAGTGTCCAAGGCCACCCTGCCTGTCCCCTAATCAGCCGCCTTCTCTGGGTGCTAGCCTGCCTAGAGAGATTAGGGGCCTGCTTCAGGGTCAGTGCCCTGGTTTTCCTCTCATCTGTTAATCTTCTAATTAAACCCCTTCTTTACCTCCCGTCCAGGCTAATCACCCAGGCAGTGACCTAGTTACCCACAGAAAAACAGCTTAATCCCCTAAAGTCACGGAACCAGCTAGAAACCACCAACACGTGCTTTCCACTCTTTCCTTGGAAGATGGCTGCCACATTCCCAGCCTGCTTTGCTCCCTGCCCAGCCGTCTCTGTCCCTCGGTGGTAGGAGTGTGTAGAAGTCAGAGTGCATGAGAGGCTGAGCACTCTAGCACACAGCCTGTCTCCCCACCACAGATCCCAGCGTAAATGCTGCTCTTCCTACAGCTCCATGATACTTTGGGCCAAGGAGGGCAATGTAGAACTTCTCTGTGAGCCCTCGTGTTGCTAATGACACACTCTACACTTGGAGAATTCCACACTGAGCTGGCAGAGCCACTCCCATGACCTTCATCTTCATGCTAGAGACCGGCTCCTTCTTCACCAGAGCCTAGGGGATCAGATGGGCTAGGGGTCCACAGCCAGGCCCTTGTGTGTAAGAGTACGTGTCATCTGACACCTTCGTCAGGAAGGTCCCCAACTAGGGGTGTGTACAGAGATCCCTGGTCTTTCCTTCCTCTGCAGGAGCTGGAGCGGCTGGAGGTGGAGCGGGTGGAGATGATCCGACAGCATCTGTGCCAGTACACACAGCTGCGGCACGAGACGGACATGTTCAACCAAAGTGTGAGTTCCCTGCCTTTGCGATAAGGCTAGCAGGACAGATTGCCCCAGAGAGACATGTGATCCGTTCCTAGCACAAGAGGCAGGTTCTACTCGGGCTACAGCGAAGGACAAAAAACACAAACAAACAAACACACAGAAAAGCTGAGATTGGCTAGGACTTGAACATGTGAGCTTCCTATCTGTTTCCCCAGTGCTGATCAGTTATAAGCTGCAGCGTGTCAACCTAACCAGAGATGTCTGTCGGCCTCGTGAATTTGCTTTAGGAAACAAACCAAATACACAACTTCTAAACCGATGGGGAGCCCTGGGGCAGTTCTATTTGCCCAGGGTGAAGGTGGGGGTGGGAGACAGGTGGAGGAAGAGGTCATCTTTAGGACAGCCTGCCCTCTTCTCCAGGCCTGGGGTCTGCAGACCAGCTCCCCCTCTCACAGCGTTCTGCACACCCCCACTCTCAAACCACCTCCATGGGGCCCTGGAACCATCTAGAAAGGTTCCAACTGCAGCAGCACAGGACACAGGAGACACCCCAGTTCAGCTTCCACCCCTGACAGTGACCCCCTTCTCTGTGTCCCCTTGCAGACAGTGGAGCCTGTGGACCAACTGCTGCGAAAAGTGGACCCAGCCAAAGACAGGGAGCTGTGGGTCAGAGAGCACAAGACCGGCAACATTCGCCCCGTGGACATGGAGATCTAGGTGCAGTGTGGCCCTGGGGGTCCTACTGAGGAGAGGGGCCGGGGTCCATGGAGAAGGGGTGTGTCTGCCCTATGACCTGCTGACCTGTCCCCGGAGGAAAAGAGCCGCTGATGCCAGAAGGAGGGCCCAGCCAGGGGCTCCCAAACCTTCCCAGGCCATAAAGATGGACCCACAGCCCTGAGTCCATCTCGAAGACTGAAGCCTCCCCCACCTCAACTCCCATGCTGTGTTTGTCAGTCTGAGAGCAAACTAAGGCTAGAACCTTGGGGTCCCTGCTGAGTACCACAGGGGTGGCCATCACACACCTGTGCCCCAGGTGTCCAAGGCCTGTCCTCCAGCTGGCATCTCATCCCCAGGATTATGAAAGAAGAAGGGAGGGGGTCTCTGTCTCCAAACAACGTCAGGATCAGAATCAAGGATAGGAGGCACAGGGCAGCTCACAGCCCACACCCACAACCTTTTTCAGCCCTCCCTACTTTCCCCCATTGCATTTTGGGAGCCCACATCTATTTTCTTTTCATCCCAACATGGGGCGGAGGGTGTCTTCCCAATCCAAATCTGGAGAGGTCAAGATGGAACTACCTCAGTTGGCACAACCATATCATGGCCCCCTTCGGTTTCAGATCAGGCATTGGCTGTAAAGTCTACCACGGAAGTCCCAGCCTACCCTTCTCTCGGGCCCCTTTCTCAAGGATGGAGCTCTCCACCTCACCCAGGCTCCCTTTCCCAGACTCAACAGAGGCTGTTTTCCAAAAGTCCTCAGGCAGCTGTGTAAATGTTCAAAGGCTTTGGGGGTCAAGTCTCAGAAAGCCTTGCCTGCCACAAGCCCTCCCCCGCCCCCACCCCTCAACTCCATGACAGCCGTGGCCAGCGCTCTCCCATGTGGGATGGCTGTGAGAGGCAGGCTAGCTTATTCCGTGACGGCTCCTGCTGCGGGTGTGCATGATGGGGTAGGAACCGCTGTCCCCACTACTGGCACTGCTCAGTAGTGCAGATTCTCAGGGCTGTAGGTTGTTGGCACCCAGGAAAAGAAGGACCTCTAGGAAGTCCCACAGTGAGCAGCGGGGCGGAGTCTAGCTGGGAACTGGTGCCCAGAGCGGGGGATGGGGGGAGGGTTGGGGGCGGCATCTTTCCTCCTCTTTTCCACAGATGACTTTGTATTTGACCTTCCCGTCTCCCTAAAGTACAGAAGCCTCTGAACACAGCTCACATCTTTGAGTCTCACATGCAAACAGCAGACAGCTTTCTCAGACCTTTGGGCAGCTCATCCACAGAGCCGTCTCTCATGGTTGGTAGGAAGACTCCCAATACACTAAACCCAACTAAGCACTGTCGCCTTCCTTACTGGAACATGTCAGCCACAAAGGCCACCGTGAGGGCATTTCACCAACCTGCGCCCAGCATTCCGGGGCTCAGCATGGACCATGCCACCAGCTGCCAGTATTGGGATCCTATTTCTTGGTTTCCTTATTTTAAAAAAGGGTGCTAGTGGTAATTTGCTTTGTGGCTTAGCAACTTAGCTTGTGGATGATGCTAAAGTTCCAAGTCTTGTCATACACAGGAGTTTGGGTACCACAGTGTGGCTCATGGCTTTGTTCCCTCACCCCCATCCAAAGCGTTCAGGGTCCCCTAGGAGGTCGCTTCCTCCAGCACAAGCCCAGTTGGCCGATGTGAACCAGGTCAGTCTGAAGCCATTTTCCTTCACTGTCACCTCATCTCCTTCTCAATCTACCCACACTCACCTTTCCCTTCTTTTTCCCAAGTCTTTCCATTGCTCATTTGTGAAGCATTTTGCTATAGACCAGCTCATCTGAAGACAAGCTACAGCTCTGACATGGCCTGTTTTGTATAGAATCGGCTCTTCCTGGCACAGTCTTGGCTCTCCCTCCTCGCACTCAGCCCGTGTGAGTTTCTCAGAGGTACCGGATGTATGCTGGTTTATCTGCATCTGTTTGTCTGCTCACTCATTTTCTCAGTGAATGCTTTGAGTACCGGAACTAGTCTTGTGCTGAGAGGAACTCTCGGCCCCCAGCCTCAGGTATACAGGTGTGTATACCTGCATTGAAAGAGCACTGCACTTCCCTCCCACCCACTGGGATTCTCCAAGTACTAGAGGATTCTGACCCAGCATCGAGATTTGAGTCACCTCACTAGCAAACTCTCAGCTTATACCCAGCTCCAATTGGTTTTCAGTATGATTCTTCGTAGGAAGAGAAAGAACATGGAGGAGGAGGGTGCCAGGAAATGACACCAGGCAGGGTAGAGTCCAGTGTCCAGCCACCTTCACAGCACTCTGTGGAGGAGGAAATCAAGACAATTAAATCCGAGAACCTGCAAGTCCCTGCCAGGGTTGAGGCTAAAGCTGCTGTTGGGGTCCTTGGTCCCTAGGCAGTGCTGGGACCAAGAGTCACACGTGTCTGGGCCAGTGCTCTACCACTTAGCTGCGCCCACCCCTGTGATCTTGCTTCTGTGGACACGTCGGTACATGAATTCTGAGAGGATTTGGCGGGTCTGTTCAGAGTGGGCGGGCATCCATTGTCCAGGCTGAGAGCAGCCGAGCCCTTTCTACCTGCCCCCACCTAGGAGTGCCAACGCTCTTCAGCTTTGTCTGCAAAACCTGATTTAAAAAAAAAAAAAATACTCTAAAATGAATGATGTAAAAAAAAAAATGGGTTAGTTGCCATGGCAACCTTTCATTATTTTCTAGTACTTTTGAACAGTCCCACGGTGCGCAGGCCAGCTGAAGGATGTGGATGGCAGCCCAGGGCTGTCTCTGCTACGGGGGCCTGCCTTTCTACCTCCACACAGGACCCCATGGGCTCAGGAGGATCTCTGCAACGGTTGGCTATAGCTGAAGCAAAGTATCCAAATTCATGACAGGGGTTTGTGTGAATTCCCTCTGTAAAATCCAACCAGTTACCAGGAGAGTGGATGGGTACATCAAAGTTTTGGCTCAGCCGAAGCCCCTTCCTGGAAACACAAGCCATAACATTCAGAAGGTGTCAAAAGACCTTGGCTTGTTTGGGGGTTTGCTCCTAGCTGTGAGTGGCCTGGACAAGAAGTTAAAGGGAGTCTAAAGACCTGCTGCTACTATGACACTAAGAGAGGTGTATTAAGGATACAAAGTAGGAGAGCAGGTCAGCTGCCTGATGGCTTAGCCGAGATACCCCCTCATTCCCACACTTGTTCCCCTACCAAAAAGTATCCCTCCACCCTCCTTTACAAGGTAATTGAGATGTGACTAAAATATAGCAAAATTGGCGCATTCAAAGAATGTGTGTCTTTGGACCTTAACATGTACGATGGTGTCAGCCACAACAAAGGGTGGCGTCAATGTCCCTGTCCCAATAGTTTTGCCTTTCTCTGCAATGACGTGTAATTGGAGTCATGCTGATATAACCTTCTGGGTCAGCCATGATGTCATGCGTGTCAGCAGAGGGTCCTCTCAGCGCTGAGTAGCATTCTATCATATGGGTGGTCCCCAGGATTTCCTTAGTTCTGAAATGAGGGTTGTTGTTTTTTTTGTTGTTGTTGTTTTTGTTTTTTGTTTTTTTTTTAATGCTCTAGAAGTCATAGTCCCAGACCTCCAGTTTGTTTGTAAAACTGCTTCCAACCCACACCGCTTTCTGCTTTACCAGGCTCCTTCCCCAGACACCAGCCGTGTCCTCGGCTGGTTTTACAGGCACCTTGTTGCTGATTCTAGTTGGGGGTCAGTGCAGAAAGCAGGAAGGGGCAGCCACAGAGTGTCACCCTGCACTGTCGAGGTGCAAGAAGACCCTTCCCCTCATGGGGCTGTCACCTCAGTCCGAGGGGCCCTGTCGTTTATTGAACATTGACCCTTGGGCACAGCCTGACCCTTCCCTGAATCTTTGTGCCATCTGCCACTGGAGGGTGCTTATTCTAGAAGGCTCCTGTGTTCTCTCTCCATCCTGAGCTCCTCCCCCACCCCTTGCTTATTAGCACCCTATGCACGTGGTCATATGTGACCTGGTGTCATCTTCTCAGCAGTGGTCAGGAATCCTCATGGTGGGCGCTTTTCGTGGTAGACCCAAATGGAAAAAAAGTCAAGCTGAAAACTACTTCGTTCCTCTCAGAACTCCCCCCCCAAAGAAACGATAAGTCAGTGCCACTACCTTCTGGGTCAGTCCCCAGGAGCCAGGACAATGGTAAAGACAGGGCCGGCTGACCAAGCCCTTGTTGCTGGATGTACCTTGACTTGCCAGCAGTCATGCCGAGACTAGCTTGACCCTGCAGCCTACCAGTAGTGGCAGAGATAGGACCAAGCCCAGCTGAGGCCAGGCCAGGCTGTGGGCAGGGCAACTGTGGGGCCTGCTCCTCAAGGCTGTCTTGCCCAGGTACTGCTGGGTGGATCCCAGAAGGCTGTCGTGAAGATTCAGGTAGACTGAGGCATTCCTAGATTCAGGTGAGGGCCAGAGCTGGGGAGCCTGAACCCAAGGGTCCCAAGATAAAAGGAAAAGCTGCTAGGGCCCTGAGGCAGGAGAGCTCTTCACCCCTTCAACTGCGGGCTAATTACTTCTGGAGGCAAGTTCCTGAGGTGAGGGACCTATTTCTCAAGGGGCAAGCTCCAACAGGAGCCCCAAGATCAAGGTTCCTCTGCCCTCATCTTCTAGCACTGAGCGTGGCTCTCGGGGACTGAACTATGGAGGCTTGGGCTGGGGGTGTGGGGACTGCCTTTAGACTCTTTCTGGGTTGTATTAGGGATACGGGCCCTTTGTGCTTGAGGAGAGTTTCCCGTCAGACTGCAGTGGTAGAGTAGGGAGGGCCAGAGCCACAGTGTGACCCTGGGGCAGAAAGCAAGAGCAGAGACAGGCCCTGCCCTGCTTCCCAGTTTGTCCTGCAGCCTAAGGTCGGGCATCTATGTGCTCACCTGTCCCTCCCTGCAGCCTCCTCAATGGACAGATTCTTGGACACAAGCTCCAGCATTCCAAGGGACACCATCTAATCCAGGTGAGGGCTCCACTCTCCATGTCTTCCCTTGCCCAGGGAAAGAGATGTCCAGAGGCTTTCCCTTGCGACCTGAGCACATCAGCAAACCCCATGGAAGTGGAATTTTCTAACAAAATAAACTTGCTTGTTTGGTCTGTTTTCTGTAACTTTTGCTAAATACTTTATACATTTTTAATGTTGAAAAGCAGTGTCTCCTGCCAGCATTCCTCTCCTGGGGATGAATGTTTATTCCACGCTGTATATCTTTTCATGCTCCGGCTGCCTAGACCAGTAAATAAAATGGATGTAATATAAGTTGTAAGTAACAATGTCAAAACTCTGGTCCCAGTGGAGGCTGGATGTCTCCCCCACCCCATAACAGCATCTGTGTGTATTAATTCTGAAGAATTAAATGTTTAAATTAGAGTTTAAATTTTGAAGGTGTTTGCTCTGTATAATTGCCTCTACACTGTTGTAAAGTGTTTTCAGGATATTCAGTGCCGTCCTCTTCCTCTTCCTCCTCCCCCAGTGTTTTGTACACTTCAGATGTTTAGAGTAATCTCTACATAAACTCTACAGAGACGATGGGCCCCCCCCCCAGGGACTCTCTTTCCTAGAAAGCCGCACACTTTTCTCCTTACAGTCTCAGCACTCTTCCTGGACTCTAGACACCAGTGATGGTTTCAGTCCTGACGACTTAGCAGAAGGACAAAGGACACCTGGACATGGATGCCCAGATAGACACAACACTACTGGCCCTAGCCTTGTGCATCCCACCCCCTGACTTCCTACCGCCCCTCTACCTTTGGAGTTGCTGCTGATATTTCTTTCCTCAGTCATCCATTCATGTATTCATCCAACAACTGAGTGTGTATGTCATGTCACTCTCCTCTCTGAGCTCTGGGGATACATCAGCGAACAGAACAAACAGCTCTTCATGCTTTCTGGAAAACAGGACCACACAGAAAAAGCCCAGAGAGCTAGCAAGAGCATCACTGTAAGCAGATGCAGAGCATGGAGTGTGGAGGGACCAGGATGACAAGGCTGGGTGTAGGCCAGGGTGACTGGAGTGGCCCTGGGCAGGTCTCAATAGATTAGGCAGATGGGGAGGGGGGGAAAGGAGAGGCTGGCAAGCTCTCAGCAAAGAAAGTTCTAGACCAAGAGGAAGCCATGATAAATGTTTGGGGCCGGTGTGACTGGAGCAGAGGAGAAGGCTAGGAGGATCCACTTACGGAAATGGTGGCAAAATGAGCAGGGAGAGTCTACAGGAAGATACCAGCTGTCATAAACCTTTGATGCTCATCGGGAGAATGTAGGCATCTTCCCTGTAAGTCTTAGCACGGCAGGGGGTGTTGGCCTCAGGTGGGTTTAGTAATCAAGACCTGGGTGTTCTTTGGAGGTAGAGCCAGGGTCTCAGCAGGAGGAAGCGGAGTGTGGCTGGCAAAGAAGTTCTGAGTTGACTGAGAATCTGGGTCCTGGCTGGAGGGACAGGCAGCTGCTTCCCACAGGGAGGGGGCTGCACTTGAGAGCCCTTACCAGGCTGAATCCCCACTGCATCCATTCCCTTGTCCCTGCCAATACAGACTGTTTGAAGGCCTGACTCCGGGCTCAGAGCAGGGGACAGAGAGGAATGCCATGAGGACTGGGGTCTGAGCCCACAAACAGGGCATGGATGGCCTCTAGGGAAGCACAGGCTGCATGGTCCAGGCAAAGCCAAGAGGAATGACATGAATGGCCTTCTCCATCGCAGCGACAGCCATGGATTTTTCTTTGGAGCACTGGGCAGGGTTATTGGCCCGACTCAGACTTAACAAATCAGTTCACAGTCCATCATCTCCATCAAACTTGTTTGGCTGAGGAGCATGAGTGTTCCCTCTGATAGAAGATGTTTATGCAGGTTTTCAAACAAACCTCCAGGTCATGACCCTTCACTCTCCACAGCATCAACACAGCTGCCTGTGGTCCTTCTGGGAGTGCCCCCTGCAGGCGGACCCTCCAGGGCACAGCAACCTGAAGAACAGAGGCTGGACCCAGCTGCAGCCAACCTGCTTCCTCATGAACAGAAAAGCCAGGTCTCTGTCAGACACACACACACAAATCCAAAACCATGTGACTCTTTACTGTCACCTCTTCCGTTGCCATGGCAACCCCAGATCCTCACCATGGAAATGGAGAATCTGGACTCTACAGTCAGCAAAAGAACAATCAGAGAGTGAGAGTGAGAAAGCCAATGAAAAGGGAGAGGGCAGATGGAGAGAGGGAGGAAGGGAGGGAAAGAGGAAAGGAAGAAGAGGGGAAGGAGGGAGAGGCAGGGTGTTGCTGTAGTACACAAAGCCCAGAACTGGCAAGCCTGGGTTCTGTTTCTGACTTTGTCATTCAGCGCCAGTATCAGCCAGGACTGGAGACAGGTCTTTGGAGCCACTCTTTCTTACTTGTGACCATGGTGGCCTTGCCTCCTATGACAGATTGCAAAGACGGTCTGACATCCTGATATTACCTTAAAATGTATATATTGTTAGTATGTTCATGTGTGGAAGTCAGAAGACCGTGGACTCTCCTTGTCAGGCTTGCGGGGCAAATGCTTTTACAGTCATCTATGTCTGCCTCCCCTGGAGACACTTGTAACCACCTTTCAGAAAGGACTCAGAGCGAGGGCTTGGAGGCAGCTGGCCTCACTCTCATCCTCTCCCCCTGGGGAGCTGTTAGGCTACGCTGCTGTTTCACATGCTTCCGGTGCTGTGCCTGGGGTGAGTGGTTTTCAATGTGGCTGGCCCGTTTGTAATCACACTCAAGAGCAAATGCTTCCTGCCAGGGCAGTGAGGATCCAGGAGAGAAAGCAGCACTAAGAAATAGTATTCAGTATTGTCTCCTAAGCTGTGGAGACACACACCATGAATAAGTGAACATTCTGAGAAGTTCTATTTTCAGTCCTTGGGAGTGTTCTTGCAGTTAAGAACAGTTGCTGTGCAAGCAAACGTCCAAGTAATTAGAATCCACGTAGAAAACCAGGTGTGGGGCTGGAGAGATGGCTCAGAAGTTAAGAGCACTGGCTGAGTTCAATTCCCAGCACCCACATGGTGGCTCACAACCATCTGTAGTGAGATCTGCTGCCCTCTTCTGGTGAGCAGGTGTACATACAGGCAAAACACTGTATACATTAAATAAATCTTTGAAATAAGAAAAAAAGAAAGACAGGAGGGTCACCAGCCTAATTCCAGGTTCAATAAAAGACCCCTCTCAAGGAGGAAGACATAGTGACAGACCAGGGCACCTGCATCTGCCCCTGACCTCCATAAGTGGATTCTCCTGTAAGTTCACAGCACGGGTCACCTGTGATCCCAAAGGGCTTGGGGCTTAACCCTGCACGGAGTAGTCACTGTGCAGAGGTCAACAGCTGGACACCGCCTAGTGCAATTGGCTCTGACAGTGTGAACCTGGGAAAAGCATCAGACCACACAGGTTGAAGGCCCCATCTCCAAGACCGCCCTCACTTCACACAACCATCCCCAAGCCCAGGCCTCCATAATAAAACAAGATCCTTCTAAAATAAGCATTTTTTATCACCCTCTATCCCATAGGGTAAGCAGTAAGCTGCCTACTTTCATGTCAACTTGACTTAAGCTAAAGCCATCAGAGAGCAGGGAGCCTCCTCTGAGAAAATGTCTCCATAGGATCGGGCTGGAGGCAAGCCTATGGGGTATTGTCCTTTCGTGGTGATTGATGTGGGAGGGCCCAGCTCATTGTAGCGTATGTTTCTGCCATCCCTGGGCTGGCAGTCCTGGGTTCTGTAGGAAAGCAGGCTGAGTAAGCCATGGGGAGCAAGCCAGTGAGCAGCACCCTCCATGGCCTCTGCATTAGGTTCCCGCCTCCAGATTCCTGCCCTGCTTGAGCTCCTGTCCTGACTTCCTCCAGCGGTGAGCAGCGCTGTGGAATCATAAGCCAAGTAAACCCTTCCCTTCCTGGGTCGCTTTTTCGTCATGGTGTTCCATCGCAGCCTCGGTAACCCTGACAAAGACAGGCAGATAATTCCTCGAAGCCCGTTCCAAGACAGAAAAGCAGGGACAGGTGGGAATATATGTTTAGTTTCTGGGGGACGCCTTGGAAAAGAGAAACTCTAGTTTGCAAGGTCAATGTTGTGTGGGGAGCACATAAAAGAGAGCATCAGAAGGTAGGGATGGTTTTTCTTTCTAAAACCTCCTGTACCCACAACGGTGTTCTAATGTCTAAGGAAACAGCACGAGGTGGGGGAGGGGCAGCCATGGCTGGTGCGTGAACAGCTACTACCACAAAATGTATATAAATGCTACAACTCCTGGGACTGCATTCAGGTGGCATATTCACCTGCGTCCTTTGCCAGTATGACAGGCCTCTCCAGCCCCTGCCGCCTGCCTGATCTGCCTTCCTCAGCCCTCCTGTTCCTTTTACCCTTGGTACTTAAGGAACAATAACAACAAGACAACAGTGCTTGACTTACAGAGGGGCCGGGTCTCCACAACCCCGTCTCACGTTGAACACAACATAAGTAAAAAAGGTACATAGTTCACCCGAGCCACCAAACTCTGTAATTAGGCTAGCCCCGCTCAGGCTGCTCAGAACACTTACACTGGACTAAATCCCCTGGGGAAATTATCTCTGGCAGTTGTTTGCATAAGGCATGTTTTATACTGTGGTAAAGCTAAAACATGTAAGTGAGTTCACAGTGAGTCCAGGGCTGTGTGTGTGTGTGTGTGTGTGTGTGTGTGTGTGTGTGTGTGTGTGTTTAGCACCTCCTTCTGCCAGTTTGAGCTACTTTGTCACTGTTCTTTCAATGGCAATAACAAGTGGTTCCCGTTCTGGGACTTCCGTTCCTCAGGCAGCCTGGGGCTTACCAGTGGAAGTGGGATGGGTTGTCCCACACCATAGAGCACTGGATAAAAGAAAGGCTGAAAAGGTACCCACTAGGCCCAAATATGGCTGAGGGAAGGATTAGAAAAGCATCCCTAAGGATGCTCTAGGTTAAGTGGCAAGGCTGCCTGCCCCTAACCTCTGCATTTTAAGGTTCCATGGGTGCCCCTCTGATGGGGAAGTCGAGCAGAGCCCAGTGTGGCTCTTCTGGAGCTTGAGTGTGGGAGGGTCCCTGGTTCAAGGGTCCCAAGATGGTCCCTTTCTTCTCAGCAGGCACAGCAGAGGTTTTAATCTCAGGAGGGTTCTGTGCCCCTCCTCCCTCCAAGGGCTGGGAGGGACTGGCTGCAAATCTCCCCCTAATCCATCAGCACCTGGGTCTCCACCCCACAGCGGCACACAACCTCGCTAGCCAGGTGACCACACTTGTCCCTCCCACCCCCACGGTGCGCACTCTCCCTCACCATGGGGAACAGCAAGAGCGGGGCCCTGTCCAAGGAGATCCTGGAGGAGCTGCAACTGAACACCAAGTTCACGGAGGAGGAGCTGAGCACCTGGTACCAGTCCTTCCTGAAGGAGTGCCCGAGCGGCCGCATCACGCGGCAGGAGTTCGAGAGCATCTACGCCAAGTTCTTCCCGGACTCCGACCCCAAGGCCTATGCGCAGCACGTGTTCCGCAGCTTCGATGCCAACAGCGATGGTACACTGGACTTCAAGGAGTACGTCATCGCTCTGCACATGACCACGGCGGGCAAGCCCACGCAGAAGCTTGAGTGGGCCTTCTCGCTCTACGATGTGGACGGCAATGGGACCATCAGCAAGAACGAAGTGTTGGAGATCGTCATGGTCAGTGTGGCTCTGTCCCTGCTGCCTGTGGAGTGGGGGCTGGGCCAGGGACCAGGAGCGTGGGCAGGGAAGGGCCTCCAGTGAACTGACAGGAATAGAGGGTAGGCACCGCTGTTGTCTGTTTCCCAAACAACAATCCGGGTGTTTCCTAGTAAATATAGTGTCACGTTCCTTCCTTCTTCCTTCATCCACCCCCACCATCCAGCCTTCCTGCCTCCTTTGTTGCTTTCCTTCCTTCCACCTTCTTTCTTTCCTTCCTTCTTTTCTTTCCTTCCTTCTTTCCTCCCTCCCTTCCTTCCTCCCTCCCTCCTTCTCTGTCTCCCTCCCTCTCCTTTGATCTTGTCCTTTCACTTTCTCTCCCTTCTAGTTTCCATCCCTCTTTCTTCCTCATTTCTCCCTCCTTCCTCTCTCTCTCTTCCCTTCCTCTTTTCCTCTGGCACACAAGTTCCCTTTTTTCATTAAAGTCTCCAGTTGTCTCAGCAACACCATTCAAATTCCACACCGGTGAAGTCGAAACACATACGTTTTAATTAAAAAGCAGAGGGGACATGGAATCTATGTTCCGGTCCTGGTTGCTTTGTTGTTCTGACCGTGATATGGTGGGTGTAGGCAGGGCTCCTCAAGGTCTCACCATCGTGGTCGTTCAAGCTGGAGAGCTCTGTCTCCTCTCCCTGTCTACAATTTGTTCTGGGTATTTTTGGCATCTCACAAATAGTATTTTTTTTATTTAGTCTAATATATAAGCAGTCTGTGAAATTTAGAAATGATGCAAACGAAATGTTGCTGACTAAAACTAATGTTTCTAACCAGTGTACTGCTAGCGCATTGCTACGTGCCTTTTCCAGTGTTTTACCTCTTTTAAGGCAATTCTAGAATCCTAACATATTGACGTGAGAGTTTTCACGTGCTTTCCTGGCACTCTTTTATCATGAGTATTTTCTATGTCATCATAAATTCTTCAAACACATTTTTCTGAGTGTCTCCCCGTGTAGCTCAGGCTGTCCTCAAGTTCTCAGCCTTCTTGCCTCGGTTTCCACAGTAGCTGCAATTATAGGTGTGAACCACCATAGCTAGGTTAAAGAATATTTCTAAGAGCCACTTAAAATTCCACCCTTTGGAAGTGTCATAAGGCCACTCAAGCAGTCCTATAATTTTAGACATTAGAGAACTTCCATTTTTCTCTGTATTGTGTCACCTAGAGTTCTTTCTTTGACTGTCTTCTGAGTCCTCCATGCTTTATTTTTCAAATTCCATTCCTGTTAGGAGGAGCAGCATTCTTCATATTTTATCTAATTTTTGGTGCGTTTGTAATCATGCTTTTACTCGCAGGATTCTTCCTCCCTTATTAGGTCAAGCCACAAACACAGCAGCAAAGCTGCAGCTGGGGGCAGACTAGGTCATCCCTGGAATGGAGGCCCACAAGTGGTGCTCCCGTGCCTGTGGGGCAAAGCCTGCAGAGCAACCTCCTCTGGGTTAGTTGTGGGGTCCCAGGATGGCATGGGATGGGGACCAATCCAAAGCTACCTGAAGAGTGCCAGGTTGATGCTCTTCTAGAAAATAGGGAAGGAAAGGAGTGGGGAGAGCTGAGGCTGTGCCAAGTGTGCAAGGCCTTGCTGGTCACCCGGTCACAAGGTCATTGTGAAAGCATTGGTCTGGAAGTCAGAAATGGTGAATTATTGTACCAGCTCTGACACCAACTCATTATGTGACCGTGGGAAATGCATATAGCCTCTTTGGGTCCAGAGTGAGGCTTTGATCATTTATATGGCCTTTCCCAGAAGCCTGAAGGCCTGGCTTTCTCCCACCACCCAACCACCAACCAACCCTCTGGTTGGAAGAGAGGTGGAACAGCCAGCCAGTCACTGCCAGTACTTGGCCACCATGCCTGGACATGGTGCCAGTGAATCAGGAGAGAGGAATTCTAGGAGCTATCTGTACTTCAGTTCACTTCTGGGGACGTGTGTGCTGTCTATAAAGCCACTGCCCTGAACTACCAGGGTTAATGTCCTTCTTGTCCTAGCACCAGTGAGAAAGCATACTTCTTATGGCTGTTGGCTTTCCTGAAGCCCAGGTTAATTTCACAGACATTGATGCCCTTTTGTAATTCCCTTGAGTCTCCATGGAGGCAGGGGCAGAGACAGCAGCCTCTGGGTCCTCATGTCAGTGTACCTACCCACACCATGAGCCTCCCTAACAGCCAAGCTCCTACAGCTTTGAGTGTCCTTGCTGAGCCTGGCTGGACCTGAAGTTACCGAGCCAGGAGAATACTTGAAAGCAGGTTATCAGGTGGGTAAGTAGGGGCCACCTTGCCCACTTCTATAGTCTCATAGGTCAGGAGCACCTTTTTCTGGCTTTGTCCTTGACTGGAGAGAGGAGCTGAAGGGGATCCATGAGCCCAAAGCTCAGCCTTCCTCTGGATTCCTCCTTGAGCTGAAGGGTACCTGAAGGGCTTCCTGTGTCCTGAGAAGACCTCTGCCAGTCTTGTCCACACCTCCCTTTCCAAAACCTCCCCCTGCTTAGTCTGCAAGAACGCAGGTTCTAGAACCAAGCTGCCTGATTTAGACTCTCTGCTGCCATAGGTCACTTTGGGCAACTTAGATGTTTCTGGGTTTGTTTGTTGTCTGTAAAATGGGACCAGTAATTCCCGCTCTCTAAAGTTGTCTTGAGAATTAATGTAAAAAATGCCTAGAAAAGTGACACAGTGATGGGAGAGCTCAGTAAGTGTGAGCCTTTATGATAATGAGCCAGTCCTGCTAGAGAACTGAGGTACCTCACAGGCCCAGTGGAGGCTGTTGGATTCTCTCAAGCCTGTGGGTGGTAGGGTCTGTACTAGTGGCTCCAAACTCCAACCTCAGGGCTTCTGTGAATTATTACAGGAAAATTTCTGTTTCTTTTTTCTTTTTTACTAAACAAAACTAGTCAGAAAACTAAAAAAAAAAAAATTACATGAAAACACAAGTGTTCTTCCACATTCACTGCCCCTTACAAAGGCTTCAAAGGTGCTGTTGATGCTTGGGCCCTGCCCTCAGAAAGTTTGATGCAGTAGAACATATGGGGCTCTGGTAGGCTCCTGGACTGTAACCTTATTGCCTTAGAGAGCACCTGGTCCCACAGGCTGTTTGGGCACCAAGAAAGAGAACCCATGATGTGAAGGCTCAAACAATGACCAGGGGCTTCCTTTTCTACACATCCACTCCAACACTCACTTCTTGATTTTGTGTTTGAAATGGGAGTGTGTATTGTTGTGTGCTGAGGCTCAAACATGGGCCTCCTGCATGGCAGAGCTTTACCACTGAGCCATAGCCCCAGCCCCATCTGACAAGAGACACAGACAAGGCAAGCTTTTTCAAGAGTAGCTGTCCCAACATATGTGAGCAGATACCTCATTATGGTTTTGATTTCTATCTATTTCCCCAATGATTAATGAAGTTGATCACCTTTTCACATATCTATTGGCCATTCCTATCTTTTTAATTTTACTTTCTTTTTGAAGAGATGGCTGTCCAGTTCCATTGTCTGTTTTCAATTCAGTTATTTATACTTTTGTTTGATTTTGTGGGTGGTTGGTTTTGTTGTTTGTTTGTATGAGAGAGTCTCACTAGCGTCTCTCCTGGCTGGCCTGAAACTCTCTGTGTAGACCAGGCTGCCTCTTTCTCCCAAGTGGATTAAAGATGTGCGTCACCACACTCAGGGTCACCTATCGTTTTAGCATTGAGCTATAAGTGTTCTTTATATGTGTTATATACTAAGCCCTTATTAAATTAATCCTTATCAAAGGTTTGCAAATATTTTCTCCCATCCCAAGGTTATCTTATTTTGTTGCCTCCTTTGCTGTGTAGAAGCGTCTTAGGTTTTAACATAATCCCAGTAGCTCAAAAATCATTATCACAACTGATGTCATGAAGCTTAGCTCTAGGAATTAAAATTAAGCCTTTCATCCATCTCCGGTAGATTTTTGTGTGTGGTGTGAAACACAGATTTCTCAGGACCACCATGCCCTTACTGCTCCTTATGACAAGGTCTTTCCCTCGGTCTGCTACAGGCTATTTTCAAAATGATCAAGCCTGAGGATGTGAAGCACCTTCCAGATGATGAGAACACCCCAGAAAAGCGGACTGAGAAGATCTGGGCGTTCTTCGGAAAGAAAGATGATGGTGAATTCCTTGTCTTTGTTACCTCTGATCTTAAAGCCTCTGCTGTTTCCTGGAGACACAGGAAACAGGCTTCCCTAATCTGAGTCACAGGGCCCAGGCTGAACTGAGGAAATACTTCCTGTAGTCGTTTGGGCCACACTTTGTCCAAGCTATCTTCAAAGGTTGGGAGCGGGACTTGGCCCGATCCACCAGGTCTGCTACTACCTTCCAGGTGATGCCTGTTACAGGGGTATCAACATACTCACTCCTGGAGTTTAGGAGTTCCGGGCTGGGGCAGAAGGAAAACACTATGTATTCCAGGTTGGCAATAACTACTGATCTTCCTGCCTTGGTTTCATGAGTACTGGGGTGTCCGTTTTGGTAGCTTTTTAACCTAGATTTGAGGACTACTAATGCAAAGTCTTCAGGCTCTTTGGCCATGTGTATACAAAGGCAATTTTAGCAGGGTGCAGCCTTTTCTCTCTTCAGGCTGCTTGCTTTCTGGATGTTCCCTGCACAGGGAGAACAAGAGAAAATGGCACCTCACCCAGCAGAGACCTCATGACCAACTAAGAAATTAGTTTTGGTGACCCAAAAACCCCACCAAGAAAGGATGAGTGTCAATTACATTGCTACATTGCTAGAAATTACTGGGAGGACAGCCTGTGCTGGGCCTCTCGGTGTCCCTGCTCTGCTAAAAGGCTGGCTGGAATTGGCCTCTGGAACTTAAAGAGAGATGGAGTCCAGAGTGTGGCAGCTGGAGCTGTTGGTCCATAGCATGCACGGCCATTACTGGAAGGATATAGTACAAGAGTTGGTATCATCATCATCATCATCATCATCATCATCATCATCACACACAGAGAAAGCAAGGATAGACAGATAGACAGACAGGCACAGAGACAAAAAGAGGGGGAGAGACAGAGAAAAGACAGACAGACAGACAGACATAGCCCCACTGGGAGACAAGAACTTGAGGAGTAAACAGCCTTGAGGAGTTCTTAAATTTTTCCCTGTGGAAAAATGGAAATATGTGGAAATATGGAACTTATTGGTACCATGTCAAATATATATATATAATATATATAAATATATATATTATAAATATATATAAATATATATATTGAGAGAGATGTCCCCAGCTGAGTTGTTTAAAACCCAAAGTGTTAGTCTCCGTAAACACAACACAATGTGGCTCACTGAATAATCAGTGTTAGTTCACTGTGTGTCCTGAGGGCACGCTGTCACCAGGGCTAATATGCAAATCCTCAGAAGGATACAGAACAAAGGTAGAGATGACCCATCCCTACTTCTCAGTCAAATGATGACGTCAAGGAAGACCCTAGGGTGGGAGCCAGGGCAAGGCAAGCAGGCTCTCAGGGTACAGGGTTCTTCGTGGGCTTTCCCAAGTGCCATCTGTGCCCCCAACCCCCCTTCAAAGTGATAACTCCTCAGTGTTGTGCCTAGGCACCCTCTCCCTCCGTCCTGCACCTGGCCCTATTGCCACTTGTCCCCTGAAAACTTTGCTTGCATGGGTTCGGGCTGTGCAAGATGGCTTCCTGTGACACTTTACTTTTGAACCCCCTTCATTCCCTCTGTGTCTTTCCACATAGCAGGGTCCGTCTGCTACTTTTTGCTAATCTGAAAATGGCTCCATAGGGGAGGGTGGTGTCAGAGGGTTGGCTGTTACTCCTGCTGGGCTGTGTGCCCGTGTGTATGTGCGTGTGCGTGTGTTTATGGCTCATCTGAAGATAGCATCATCATGGCAACAGGCTCCAGTGGTGGGACTTTTGAGTTTGGAGTGAGGCTGGTAAGGAAGTTAGAACTTTGGAATCCATATTTCACCACCCAGATTTAGGCAGAAAAGTATCCTGAACCCCAACCCCAAAGAAGACTAAGGATATGAATATAAGACAAAGGCCATGAATATAAGCCAGTGGAGACAAAATCAGCCCTGTGGTACTGTGTTTACACTGTGTGCTGAGGGTCATGAGAGTGACCGTAAACAGAAAGGATCTGCCTCATCCTAGACTTCTTTCTATATGGAAATGTCTTCCCACAGACCCGGAGTTCCCCGAGGACAAGCTTTGGCTCACTCTTTTTCCGCTATGCCCCACCCTCTTTAAGAACGGCAGCATGAAGCACACAGAGGAAGGCCACAGTGATATGCATTTGTCTGGGCTGAACCTACACACACACACACACACACACACACACGCCTGACTTGTGAGAGATAGCAGAGGCTATCTCTCTCCATCCTCATCCCAAATGAGGTGTTCTATATTGAGAGACGAGGAATTTGCAAGCAAAGGAAGCAGTCACAGAGGATGTGTCACCCGGTGTCATGAGGTAGCCTCGGTGCTGTGGGCACACAAGAGATTTTTCTGCAAGCCAGGCTATCCATGGCATGTCACTGTCCCCTGACCTCTCATGCCTCATTCACTTGGGGACAGTTCCAATGTCTGCACTGAGACTGTGAGCCTGCCTCCTCAGTCTCCCAGAGCTTTAGACTATAGGGGTATGGAGCAATTTCAAAAGCATATGAAAGGAAGTACTTATAATCAGTGATAACCAGCACGGCAAGAGAACTGTCTGAGCAGAAGGCACGGAGAATACGAGTGGGTCCTGGGAGACGGCGACAGTCTTTGGCTGTCTCAGCATGATTTGAGGGAGGCTCAAGAGTCTTGAGGAAGGGATAGTGTCTGGGAGAGTAATGTGGGTCCCTGGGATTGCTGCATCTTCAGCATTTTCCCTCAGTTCTCCTGGGTATTTGCAGCTTGAGACAGCTGGTCCTGACTGATGTTTCTCCTCCACTACACAGATAAACTTACAGAGAAAGAGTTCATCGAGGGGACCCTGGCCAATAAAGAAATTCTGCGACTGATCCAGTTTGAACCTCAAAAAGTGAAGGAGAGGATAAAGGAAAAGAAACAGTGACGGCAACAGCTCAGCTCCTCCCCCACCTCCACCCCCACCCCATCCCCAGTGCGAGCACGAGAGCACGTCAGCACGCACATGCACACCCTGAACCTCGAGAGGTGGCAAACCAAACCTCTCCCTGCCAACTGAAGGTCCTTAGCAGGACACAGTTCCTTCTTCCCTTTGTCTTCGGTGTCCCTTCACACCCTACCTGTCTCCTTCCCTTGCCCAGGTAGCCCTGTGATAATCCCAGGCTTAGGTCATAGGCGTCCCAAACGTCAGCCCTGCTTAAGCTCCTTTGGGGATTGCTGGGTAAGCAGGTTCCAATAAATGCAAAAGGACTGGGCACAAGGCTGGCTGGTCATTTCCCACCTGGAAAAGGAGAGGCTCCCTGGCAACTCCAGGGTCTCTTGTGATTGCAACGCCAGGCCAGCTAGGGTTCAGAAGAAGATGCCCGTGGCCCTGAGTGGTGCTCTCCTGGGAGGTAATTGCCCAGAGGGCAGGTGGATCTTGTTTAGTTTTCCCGAGACAAAGTCTCACGCTGGAACCTAAGCTGACCTTGAAATCGGGACAGTCTACCCGCTTACGCCTTCTGGGAGCTGGCATTACAGGCATTGAGCCTCTCCAAAAGACTGATGGAGCTCGGTGCCAGGACCAGGGTCCCCATGGTGACACGCAGAGCACTGAGGGAGTAAGTGACATAAGAGGGGCTGGCTTGTCAGAAATGGTCAAAGAAGGTCTTCCCACGCATAGCAGACTGTAGCAGGAGATGGGCGGGAGGGGGAGAGTTTGCATCTCAGAGTGACTGACAGAGCCGTGGAAGCAGGAAGGGGCATCTCTGGTTCTAGAGGACGTGATCCTGCCAGGTGCCCTGCCGCCTTTGCCACAGTGTCGACAGAACTAGGAAAGGTCCGTTTTTACGAGCAAGCTTTTAGCAGGGCGGATATAACCAATCGCCAAAGCTGGGGACCGAGAGGTCCCAAGGGTGGCCAGGGTTCAGGAGTGGCAGAGGGGTGGACAGCTGCTGGGGTTAGCCTCCTGTGGCCGGCACCATATGGCTGGCTAAACAGCAGTACCGGCTATGGAGATGGGAGACCCTGGGGGTGGCACTTATTTCAGGGGATGAACAGGAGCCCTATCTGGCTGGTGAGCGATGAGGGATGAGCCATAGATGCCGCCGAGGCCCTCATGTTGGAGACAAGGAAATGGGAGTCATAAAGCCACAGGAGCACTTTGCCCAAGGTCATCCAGCTGACAGGCAGAGGCTGGCCAAGGACATGTAGTGCCAGCGTTGGGGACACCTAAGAATGCCTCAAGTGGCTTTGCTAGGACCACAGGACACATTGGGTAAAAAGCCTATTGATTCCCCAGCTTCAGGTTTCGAGATGAGGTCAGAGAAATATATGGATACAAACCTCCTGAGGGTAAGAGGTCTCCCTCTGTGGGTGTTGGGGTGATCCTTTCCAGCTCCCATGATTTAGCCATAGTACTGTCCCACTAGCCCAGAGACAATACTCTTGGGAAAAAAGAGAACAAGAAAATAAGCACTTGGATGTGCTCTGTGAGGCAGGCATCACGCGGGGTCTGTGGGTATCATTCTAGGGACGGAGGTATTATCACATATGCAATACAGGTGAGAACACTGAGTGTTCTCAGGGAGTGACAGTAGGACTTAGGACATACCCTAGAGCCTCTATGATGCCCCCATAAGTTTGGGTCCTGGACATGTCAGGATCGTGTATCATCTGTGGTGGAAGAGAGACATACACAACACAGCAACAGTGCTTGAGCAATTCGGGGATGAGGGAGTTACTGGGTAGGATTGCCTGCTTAAGATGTTTCTCTAGCATAGAAATTATGGGCCAGTGCAGAAGGGAAAGGGGGCATTTAGTCTACCCCATGGTAATTTAGGGACGCCCTTCAGGCTACTTTCCATCCCTGCCTTGATTAAGTCTCCTGGTGGACTTGTCTAAAAGACAAGGCTGCCTAATCATAAAGTCCTTAAGGCTCCCGCAGATTCACCAGTAAGTCCTTAATGCTTGGTGCCATTACTCCATGTATCATACTACAGCTCTGGTTATAAGGACCCTGATATGCTGCAAAGTCTTCTGTAGGAAGGTCTGTTAAAATGGCTCCATGGTGGCAATGACATTTATCATGAGAAACAGCTCTTCTAGATTGGTCTATTCAGCTTGCTTCCCACATGGTGCTTAGACACTATCCATGAAGCTAGGGGTGACAGACGCTGAGCCATTCCCACTTTGGGCTCCTGTGACTAAGACTTCCGTAGATGGACATAGATGCCTGGGTTCCTGCTTTCAGTCTTGGCGTATTCAATCAGAACATCTGCAATCAGATCCAGCCATGCCTAGATTCCTGCTTCTAACTGCTGGGTATTTAGTCAGAGTCTATGGAATCAGATTCAGCCATTGGTCTACTTAGAAGGTTTCTGTGTGGAAAGTGGTAGCACATGTCTGTAATCCCAGCCCTTGCGAGGCTGAGGCACAAGGACTGTGACTACAGACTGAGTTTCAGACCAGCCTTGGCTATGTAGCAAAACTCTGTTTCAAAAAAATTTAAATTTTGGGGGGAGGAGGACCAGGAGGAGGTGGGTGTGGCACAATTTGGGGATGCAGCCCAGAGATACAGCTAGTTTTATCGCCCAAGTGCCAGGAGGATTGTGAGCATCAGGCTAGACCGGCAAGCAACAAGTACACCGAGTGGTTTAAGGCCTGCTTTGGAAAAATGGAAATGCTCCCCTTCCCCTTTGACATCTGACCTCTGCTTCTGACCCTTCCACAAAAATGGACCACACTCTTTGTGCCCATTCTGCTCAGAAACAGTGCGAGACACTCCTCAGGCAGGTGGGACACTCCCAGCTCAATGAGAAATACTGAGCACGAAAAGCAAAGTGAATAAACTTGTTTCAATGAGTAGCACAGCAAGAGGAAGCAGTGTGGGAAGATGACCCTGTCTGCAAAGGGAGGTGGTTAGGAAAATGGGTTTCCCTGTTCCTGGTAAGATCTCAGAAAGCTTGCTCTATGCAACACCTGACGCCCCTCAGAGGCACTTTAACTCTCCCTCAACCAATGTGTCTGGAGTCACTTTTCCACACCAGCCTTGGCCTGGGCACATGCCAGGAAAGCGAGGTGTCCCCATCATTTCTGCCTAATGACAGGGCAAGGACATTTGCAAAAAGGGGTGGGGGGAAGGAAATGTATCTTAATATAAATTCTGAAAATCTAGATTCCAAAACCCTTGTTTCATTATGCACTTGCTTAATGTCTTTGCTTCTGTTCCCACCCGGCTGGGAACAGCATAAAATGTAAGGAGACACCAAAAAGCTCCATAATCTGGATAAATAATATTTTAATGTAATCATTCAACACCAAAATTATTGATAAAAGGAACACACTGTCAGTACTGTAGACAGGATCATAGTTGAAACCCATGCTGACACCCTGGGGCTTCAGCTGCTGCCTTGGTGCCAAACTTTATCCTTACAAGTGGCCCGTGGACTATAGTTAGTGGGTTTGGTTTCTTTTAAGTGTTGCACAAAGTTAAATTTTATCTCATCACTGAGATTTCCAGAGTGACTGATCACCTTAGATGGTTCACCCTTGTCCTGGCCTTACCTGCAAATCTCCTCACAAAGAGAGCAGCCACAATGCACAATCAGACTCCAGCTGCAGATGGACTCTGTCCTGGGATAAACTTATGTAAGGAGATGATCCGTGGATATCATCTGAGGTCCACATACAACAGAATATCTTGAGTTTCATTTGTGGAGCCTGACAGCCTTGCTTGAGAAGTGTCAAGGCAGTATTTCTGTCCACAGAAACATACCCCACCATGGACACATACCCAACCATGGACACATACACTTGCCCACTAAAAAGCAGCCTTTCTCCCCATCTGCACAATGTTTGCACAAACAGCTCCCCCCACCATCACCCTGCATCCTCACTTCTTGTGGTTTGTGTAACTGAGGCACAAACCAACCTTGACTGATTTCCCATTGGCATGAAATACCAATAAGCCTGGCAGATGTAGAGCCCTGGGCATCTCGTGCCGCCCTTAGCAAGCCCACACTCAGACAGAGTCCTAGTCAGTCACCTGGGTTTTCAGCACCTAGGTAGGAAGAAGAAGAATCCTTGACCATAGGAAGCCAGGTTATCGGAGGGTCAGTGGGGAACCAAGTATGGAAGGGCGCTTCTCAGCCTAGGGATGTAGAACTAGCAAGGCTGGTAAAGTTCAGGAGGGCAGGTGGAACCAGGAAGAAGACAAGGACCAATGGCAACATTCCAAAGACTCCCAACACCTGCGGCCAAAGACCGGATGGCTGACAGTGGGATCTTTACTGTCAGCGTGCCTGGATTTAGAATCACCCGGGAGAAGCACCTTTCATTGTGCCTTAGGACCTTTCCAGGGAGGCTTAACTGAAAGGGAAGACCAAGCTGAACACGGGCAGTGCGGCCCAAGCCAGCTGAGTAGAACGGAAGAGGAGAGTAGAGCGCCAGAATCCATCTTTCTCTGCCGTCTGACTTCCTGGTTTTCCCAGGTTTGCTGCCAGCCTGATTTACAACCTCGCCGCCTCCCCATCAGACCACAGTTCCTGACCCTGAGGGCACCTCCCAGAAGATTCTGTCTCAGTGATTTTGATCTCTTAGTGAGTGGATTCATCAGCCCCAGCTGACCAGAAATTACAGACTCAATTCAAAAAAGCTCAAACAGCCAAAACTGAGTCTTCACTTCCCTCTGAAAACTCACAAGCCTCCATCAACTGTGTTTCCCTCAAACTCTAATTACCCAGCTCTCACAGTAAGGCCCACTAAGTTTTGAGCACTCAGTGGCTTTTCCAGCCTGAAATTCCAACACTTCTACAGTCCTCCCCAAAACAGCAAGACCAGGCTAGCCACAGCAGTAGCTCACTCTCCCATACCAACTGCTGTCGTAGTTTGCTTTATTTTGCCATGATAAACATCATGACCAAAAAAAAAAAAAACTTTGGGAAGAGAGGAAAGGGTTAATTTGGCTTTCCTGTCACTGAGTGAAGCCTGGATATGATCTCAAGCAGAGGCAATGGCAAGAACCATGGAAGCAAGTGGCTTTACTGGCTTGTTCATCATGGCTCACTCAGGCTGCTTTCTTACACAACCCAGGACCACCTGCCTAGGAAGGGTACCGCCCACAGTGGATTGAGCCCTTCCACTTCAATCATCAGTCAAGAAAATGTTCCCACAGACTTGCCTACAGGACAGAATGATGGAGGAAAGTCCTCAGTTAAGGGTCCCTCTTCCCAGAGAGGTTTAGGTTTGTGCCAAGTTGACAAAAACCACCAAACACACTGACTAGGCCAATGACCCACCATCTCATGAGCCGCCTGCCCCATTAGGACCCATCTCACAGCCATGGCGGACTGTACTCCCAAAATATGATCCCACATAGCACTCCCTCCCTTAAATTGCTACTTGCCAGGTATATTGGCCACAGCAGTGAGAACAGAAACTAGCGCATACAGTAGTGTGACATTTAAACTTCCATCGACCCCAAACAGAACTGAGATGGAGAAAGGGAGATGAGACTTAATGGGAGGGGAAGAGAAGAGAAGCAGGGAGGAGAGGGGGCTGGGGACAGCATGGGACCACTTCTTCCGGGGAGCAGCAAATGCCGAACAGCAGCTCCCTCCATCCTGCCCAGGTTTGGCCGAAGGTGAACCTCCCAGAATTTCCTCAAGTGCTTGCCAAATGCTTCCAATTTTTGGTCATCATCTCAGACTCTTAGAATGCTGACCGTGATTCCCCAGAACTTGACACCTCAAAGCTTCCGTATCTAAAGCTCCAGCAGACCCTACACCCATTCTCGGAAGGGGGCCATGTGCCATGCGGGGGAAGAAGTACTGGCTGGACCCTAGTTAATAAATGACTTCTCTTCGTGGTGGGCTCCACTCACTTGGATTTAGGGCAAGCCCCAGGGACCAGTGGACATTCTGGAAAATATGCCTGACGAGGGGAGGGCAGCAGAGTGACAAGGGCAGGAGGAACAGTGCGCATTACACAGACTCATTTATACAGAGCATGACGACCCAGGAGAGACTTCACCTCAAAGTGGGGAGAGCGGGTGGGAGGGTGATCCTGGGCTCTACAGCATCCCTCCTAGAGTACCCAGTTGCAGAGCTGGGGCGATGGACGCGGCTTTAGATCTCACTCTCTTCCAGGATCTCCTCCACGGTATTGGCCAGGGTGAAGTCCCCATCGCTGCTCTCAGACAGGCTGATTCCCCGGGGCCAAGTTCCATGGCCCCGGTGAGGCTGTGCCCCCCGATCTCCCAGGGTCCCAGAAGCCGATTGAGAGCTGCACGGTGAGGACCGCAGCTTCTGCAGTGTCTCGGCACCGGCACCGTCTCCCTCCGACAGCTTCTTGGAACATTTCCCCAGGAACCGGAAGTTCTTCCCCAGGACACTCGCTCTGCAGCCCCAGTGGCGAGCTAATAAGAAGCGGCCCCAGGACTTGCGCAGTTCCGCCTTCACCTGCCAGGGGAGACAAAGATGGGGTCACCATCTTGGAGTCGCTGCTCACCTGTCCATTCAGCAAGTTACCTACTGAGCGCCTACTGGGGGCTGCCTTGGGGAGATTTACCTTTCAGGTGGTGAAGCAGAACAAAGACAAGCAAGACGAGAGAGCACATCTAGCGCAGCGTGGTAAGGGCTGTTAAATGAACATTTTGATGGAAGACTGGAAGCTTTAGATAAGGGGACTTTGCATAGAGGTGCTTCAGCTGAAACCTGCCTGGCAGATAAAGAGCTCTGGTGTGGAGACACAGAAACAGCAGCAGAAACAGCAGTGCGCACAGCAGGGTTTGTTTGCTGCTGAGAGGGCTGTGTTCTGCTTTAGGAGATGGCCCCTGGAGCAGAGGATGGAGAGGATGAAAGGGGCCGGGAAGCCACTAGCTCCTAAAAACACTGTCCTGGCCTCTGCCTCTGGCCCAGTTAAGCCTTTGCCCAGGTGCTATGCTTTGGATAAGGCTCTTGTTTGAAGACTTTAATCTCCCACCCTTGCCCTTTGGGAAGGTGCTGGGACCTTTAAGATGTGAGGCCTAACTGAGGGAAGTTAGTTCGCTGGGGAGGGTCTGTTCCTGAAAAGGATATTGGATATGAGTGCTCCCATGCTCTCTGTCTGTCTCTCTCTGTCCGTCTCTCTGTCTCTGTCTGTCTCTGCCTCTGTCTGACTCTGTCTTTCATCCCTTCCTTCTCTCCTTTCTTCCCTCATTCATGAGGTGAGCACCACATTTCACTAGGCATCCCCATCATTGTGAATTGTCTCACCACAGATCTAAAGGCAAGATGGTCAGGCAACAGACCATTGGCTGAAACCTCTGAACCCATGAGCCAAATAAACCTCTCTTTCTTTGTACGTTGATTATCCTGGGTGTTTGTAAAGTAACGGGGAAAAAAAAAAAAAAAAGAAAACTGACTACCACACAGAGGAAACAGAATGCAATAAAAAAAATTTTTTTTAATGTAAAAAGCATAGCTCCCGGTGTTCAGTGTTTATTCTGTGCTGAAAATGCCCAGGCACTGAGAACAGGGCCAGCTGTTATTCACACTTCACAGATGAGAAAACTGAAGCTGAATGGCTAACCACAAAGCTCCTGAGTGATCAGTCAATGTTTGGGTGCAGACCTTTAAACCCTAAAGTCCATGCTCGTCTCGACCATCACATTTTAGTCCTACTGTGTTGCCAACAGACCAAGGGCTGGGTTCTGAGAGTCTCACACCATTCCTGACATCTTTTCCTGTGAGTCTAAACTGCCCCCCATTCTCTCTCTCTAAAGGATGCTCACAGCAAGTATTTGTCCCGATATGTGCCCTAGGGAGCGTAGAAGCATCGTCTCCACCTCACCAGAAGCTGGGATGGCAGCATTGAGAACATACCTCTCCATTGGCAAAGCCGTACTGCAAGGCCACCAGAAATCCCTGGAACAATGGGAAAATAGAGTGTGAACTACTGCTCGGCAGAGGACGTGTCTGTGGATCCCCAAGAAGAGTGTTTGCCATGCTGCTGGTGCCTCTGCTTACCCAGGCAACCTTCTGGGTACTAGAGGTACAATTAAGTTCATTATAGTTGGACTCCCAAGACACGGGGTCATTCACTCAATGGGACAAATGCGGGGAAGGCTCTGGTCCCATTTTTACTTTTCTGTGGTGGTTACTGTCTAACTCATTTCTACCTCCTCTTCTTTTTCCTTGCTATGAGTCTCACTGCGTAGCCCTGGCTGGCCTCGAACTCACAGAAATCTGATTGCCTCTGCCTCCCAAGTGCTGCCAACTTGTATTCTTTCACGGAGCCTATGGCACAACTGTCAGTCATGAGATTCTCATGTTTTAGGTTGGCCATCACCATAACAATTGGCCCAAACAGGCTCTGTGACAGGAGCAAGGCCAGTGAGAGCCCTTTTCACTGGAAAGGAGAGTAGATAGTACTCTCTCCCACATGTCCATCATGATAATTATAATCATGGGCAGTCTAAGCATAGAGATGGTTACTGGCATCTTCCCATGTCACAGAGAGAGCCCATCTGGGCATGAAGCCAACAAGAGAGACCAGTGATGGGGAGACAGATGGCTCCTGGATTGTTTGTGGACTGCATCCAGTTATGGCCGGTCCCGAAATTTTCACTTGCGCGCCTTAATAAACACCCTTAGCTCTTGTCTAGCTATTCTCTTGATAAACACCCTTAGCTCTCGTCTAGCTATTCTCTTTGAAATGACAGATTGTTTCCCAGCAGGGGTTTCTCGTCTCACTTAGCACAAAGTAAACAGAGTAAGCGAGGAAGGTCTGAGGTGATCTGCGCTCTGGACTTCGGTGGTTCTGACTTCATTCTGTGCCCCATTTTCTCTCAGCCACTACATTCCAGCCACCTTGGTGACCCTAAGCCAGAATGTCCAGGGGAAGACTGTCAGACTCTCAGCCACAGGACACGCATGTGACTATAAATCCTCGTTGCCTTGGCCACCAAATTACACACAACAGACACTTAACATACAGACTTGAAATGCTGGGACTTAGGAGGTTTTTTCCTGGTGACCCTGAATGTTTTGTTGCAGAGTATGTATTGTGTGTGTTTGAACATGTGTTCAGGTGTCTGTAGAGGGCAGAAGAGGATGTTGGATCCCCAACAGCTGCATTATAGGCTGTTCTGAGACACGAGATGTGGGTGTTGGGAACCGAACTCCAGGCCTCTGCGAGGACAGCTAACACCCTTAACTGTCGCTCCATCTCTTCAGCTCCCATATTGTTATTTCTGAAATTGGTTCGCACCTCAGAAATTTTCTGATTTCACAGTAAAACATAACCACGGTCTTAGAAACAAAGGTTTCCTCTCCATGTGTAATAATGGTCACTTCTCAATTAATGTTCAAACTGTTTTACAGAATATGTCCCAGGCAGAACCTCTGTTTATGTTCAGATTCACTTAGCTTGAAGGTAGTGTGTCCCAGTTCACTGTGCACAGAGTTCACTGTCACTCTGGAAAAACATGACTTTTCTGTCATTCTTTAAAACCTAACTGACACCTGGACCGATGCTGTTCAATATGGCGGGGGCCTAAACGAGGGTGTGGACACCACTCAGGGGCACCACGGCTCACTTATTCCTCGTGCCCCTTCGAACTTTCTGTGATGTTCTGCCCACAAATTTCTACCTAATTTGGCCTCTTAAAATTTGGATATTATCTCAAGAATCACATCCAAAAGGTCTTTGCAGGTTTCCAACTTTAAACACTGGACTTCCAGCATGATTCACCATTTGGCTATTGTCAGCCTTCTCTGTATCACTCACAGTGAGAGCAGAATCCATACCTAGACTTCACTATCAGATCCTGAGCACCTAAAACTATGTGGCACATAAGAGACATGCATTACATATTGAATGAATGAATGAATGAATGAATGAATGAATGAATGAATGAATGAATGAGTTGGGCTTCGGTCACTTGGAATAAAGGGTTTTGTCACGTACAATGTCAACCTACTTCTAAACTGTGATGACACGCTTTATTTTCTATTATTTTCATAGCTATTTAGAATAGCTGTCTTGGCTTTTCCTAACTGATGTGTGTCTAACATATTGGAAAAGATATGTGTGGGCCTTGAGCACTTGAGAGTTTAAAGGAAGATTCTCAAAATGCCAAGACCCTACAAAGGAAAGGTAACATCTCCAACTGAAGGGTCACAATGACAGACTGACTCTATATCTTATCTACCTATCTACCTACCTACCTATCTATCTATCTATCTATCTATCTATCTATCTATCTACCTATCTATCTATCTATCTAGGATATGGTCTCACAGGGTAGCTCAGGCTGGTCCAAACTCCTACCTCAGTTTCCCACATCCTAAGCTTTCACAGGTATGCACCACTATGCCCAGCTTTCCTAAATCTTTTGACTGTAATGAAATACAACCCCAGGAGGCGGTTGTCTCTGATTTTCTTTATATTCACTTCTGCCAACCTGTCCCTTCTGAATAATACCGGGAGCCTCCCAGCTCAGATTCTGCCGGCAAATGTGGGTTTTCCCTTTTCTTGTGCACCTGGAGAGTCCACAGCCATGTTGCTCAATGGAGGCTTGGTAGTGCAGTTCATCCTTTCCACACATGAAATTCAAACAGGGTCACAGCTTGCTGTGGGATCACTGGAAAAGCAGTAATTACATCTGAGCACGTGGTGGAAGAAGAGGTGGCTTTTGGTGGGCCAGAATCATCACAAAACCAGCTAAAACAGGATTCAAATGACAGGCATGTCTTCACTTCACTGGGTTGGGAAGATCCTGCAGTCTGGCTTCTGCTCCAGGTAAAGCAAGTGTGAAGGGGCAGGTCCCACAAAACACATGGCTCTCACTTCACATGTCCCCAACATGTGGCCATCGCTCCAAAGACCTGATGATAGCAGGAGGCTGATGGCTATGCAGTAAACCTTTGAAGAGCAGAGGGGACTCCAAGGCAACGAGAGAAGGAAGCTGATGGGACTAAGCCTGCTCTTGCTGATTCCTTTCATAGAGTCACCAAGAAAAGGACCAAGAAGGCATCAAACATGTCTCTCCTCATCTGCCAATCTCCACACTCACCTGTGAGATATGGGGAGCCTGTGACTACAGCCAAGCACTTTCTGTCTCCACCCCTGTTCAGAGCATGCTGTGTCTGTGAATCCTCATGTTCCTTGGTGGCACAAGCAGGCAAGCAGAGCTTCTGCTGCTGACTGGGCACTATGGCAGCTCCTCTCCAAAGACAGCCCCAGTGTTTTTTCTCATTATACAGGGTAAGTCTGTTCCTCACACTAAAACCTGAATATCGTTTTCTATCCTGAGTCCAAGATGACCCTGTGACTGTTTACCAGCATAATGTGGCGGAAGCATCGATCTAATTAGGTATTTACTTCTGAGCTTATGCCTTCAAGGGATGAAAATTTCCACTTGCCCCCTCTTGGAACATTTGCTCTCGGGGTGCTCCAGGAATCCAGCTGTTATGTTGTGAGATGCCCAAGATACATGGAGAAAAATGGAGCTCGCTCAGGTCCTATCTGAGCTCCTGACGGGCAGGTCACATCACTGTGCATGACCCTTTGAGGGTTCCAGCCTGGTGAACCTTCAGTTGTTTGTAGGTCCAGCCAAAATTGCATTTATCAAAAAGACCGTGCATGCAAAGCCTGGAGAATCCAAACCTAGTGATGACTACTTTAAGCCACGAAGTTGGTAAGTGGCTTATTACCTGAATGGCCAGCGCATCCCCAGGCCTGAAGAGTCTGGCAAGTGAAGTTTCCTCCTTAGAAATTAGGTCCCATGGTCTCTACACAAGTGCTTGGTCCTTAGCTTGCTTGCATGGTGTGTGTGGTATCAGGTGATTTGGGGCTTACGTTAACCAGTATGGCAAGAGGCCACCAAACAGATGGAGGATTTGCGTTTGTTTTGTTTTTCTCTTTCGAGATTACCGTTTGCAGAAGATTAGAGCAAGCAACACAGGAAAGTCAAATTACTCAGTCTCAGCTTTTGAAATTCCCCCAAAAGATTGAAATAAATTAAACATGTTTCAATGATGGGGGTGGGGCATACTGTTACCAATGGGTCTAATGTCTCAGGCTAAAGCCACGAAGAATTTAGGGGAAGAAGAGCACCGCTCAGTCGCTGTGCCGTGTCCCAGCTCTGCCTCCTGAGTCACTGGTGTGAATGAAGCGGGAGGAGCAAGTTTTTTCTGCACAGCATCTTGGCACCTCACCCCTCGGGGCGACAGAGGCCAAAAGACTGTGGTATAAGGAACTTGGTGTCCCCGGGTTACAGTCTTTCCAGGCTGCCCAGGCTGCCCAGGATCCCCTCCATACACTGTGTGGCATACTGGGTGTGACATGGTGGGCCCAGCTGAGGACTTCATCTAGATAAAGCTTCCATCTTTGACTTGGTTAGCACATTTGCACTCTCTGCGCCGCAGCTTTTGTCTTTCAGATGGGTATGCTAACTCCAAAGGATTTTGTCAAACCAACTTTCCAGTGTGTGAGTTCAATCCCCTGGTGGTGTTTTTGTGACAATGTACAATGTAGTAGTGATTATGTTGACAGTTACATGAGCAGTCCAGGGCTTACAGCATGCATCCTGACTTGTCACAGCTTGTGTCAGGTTAACAGTAACTTCACGTGGGTAAAGCATAGAAATTTGTTCAATATATCCCCATTCATTCTTTCCTCTTTTGTGCTATTTTTGTGATGCCTATATAATCGTTTTATGTTATTAGCTCATTAACATAATCACTGCTGCATTGTACAGTCATACTGTGTCTTCTGAATCAGTTAAGAAAAAAAATATACCACTTTGTCTTTATTTAATTCTGTAGCAACCGTTGGCAGTGTTTTAACTTCTTGTGAATTTGAGTTACCCTACAGTGTCTTTTTCTTTCAGGTCTTCCTTTGAAACCCCTTGTACAACTGTCAGCAAATTCTCATCAGTCTTCATCTACCTGAGGACATATGTTACCTTCATCTTGAGACAGTTTATCTGGCCACGAAGCTGTTGATTGACATCTTTTTACTTATGCCATCTGCCCCCTGCCACACCTCTGTCTTCCTGCTTGCCTGGCCGGCTCCTATTCTGTAAGGAGTTGCTATTCTTTTGAAATATTAAATATCTTGCTTGTGAAAGAAATCTTGCTATCCTACCCAGGCTGGCCTTGAGTCCGTGGTCCTCCTGCCTGATACTAAATCAGCTGTCTACCAACTGAGCAGCTACATTCCAGTGCCTGTAGCTCTCTAGGGAGAAACTTTTGCAGACTTCTTTCTCCTTCACTCCAGAAGCCCCACTTGATGTCAACATCAAGTGGTTAATTTGAAGTTGAAGTTGGTTTATTCTATATTATTACTGTTACTGTTATCATTATTATTTAGCCTTGGCTGTCCTGGAATTCACTCTGTAGACCAGGCTGGCCAAAAACTCATAGTGATCCACCTGCCTCTGCCTCCTGAGTGCTGGGATTAAGGGCGTGCACCACTGTCCAGGGAAGTTGATTAATTCTAAGACTGCTACTACAAGGGGAATGTGGCTATGCCTATATGCGTTCCTGAGGTCTGTCCCCTTAGTGGCCTCTGTCCTCTCTGCACCTCTCTGCACCTATATGCCTCTTCAGTCTCACCCTCTTTCACTCTAGCCCAGGACACAGGCTTGCTTTAAAATGCAGACTGCAGTACAATTATCAAGATGTCAGCTCTGGGCCTAGGCACTTAAAATGCCCAGCAGTTCCTGTTCATACCATGCTCTTGGGAGGCCTGGGCTGCCACATAAAAGGGCAGTCACTCTGTGGAGAGACCCCAAGGCAAGAACATATGGGAACAAGAGACCTCAGACCAAATGGAAGAAAGGAACATAGTTGATAGCAAAACATGAGGCCCTGGGAATTCAACCCAAACGAAGCCAGAACCAGCTCAGGCTGTTGCAGGTGTGTGCACAGGGCCCCAGCAGGCTTCAGCAGGCCAGTGCTCAGCCCTCCCTCCATGTCCTACCTTGATGCCTGACTTTCAAAGTCATGAGAAGGAATAAGATTGAGGGCCACGTTAAGCTGATGTTTCATAGGGAGTCAGCAGCAGTTAACCAAAGCATCTGGGTAACCAAAGCTGAAATCCTGTTTCTCGTTATGGTGCATACACATCTGTCTGGAGTAAGAGCCTCCTGATCTGGACTCTCCCTACCCTAGCGGTATTGTGTGTTGTGTGCATGTCACAGGACGCACAGAAGAGGTTCACTTTGTAAGATGCTCTGCAGACTGCACAGCAAAAAATAGGCCCTTAATAAAAGGCTTCATGGTGACACTCAGTTAATATGATCATGAGTCACATAACCTATAACAGTCCAGGAACAAGACTGCTTTTCCCTTCTGAGTCACCGAATCATGCTGGCAGGGTCCCGGCAGCACTTCTCCAACCGTACATCCTACTAATGTCATGGGTCCTCACCAGTAAAGCCTGCCTGTGCTGGGAAATCTGTCGGTCCCCAGCTCCACTGTTGTCTGTTTGGCCCCTCTGTATTTTTCTTCTCTGAACCGAGGCGTCAGTCAGAATACTTACATGGAAGGAGCTCAATGTCAGCTGGATGAAGAGTCGAATAAGCTTTGAAAATCCTTGAACTTGGTCATCGGTGATGAAAGAAAAGAGGATCTCGTGAACCCCCAGCAAAGGAATGAGGAGCAGTGTTGACTTTGCCAATCTGCAAGAGACACCAAGTAGCAGTCGTGTTGGCCTGGCTGGGACTAGGCCACATGTCCTGCCCTGCTGTGCACATCTGGACTGAAAATCGCTCACTCACTCTTGGTTTATTCTTTGTGACCTTGATCACTCTCATATCCCTGTACATAGAAGATACTCAGGGAACATTTACAGAGTGAAGGAATCATCGCCTGTGGGATATAATGTCTACAGATATTGATGTCTGATGGAAATTCCTCTTCTATGGAACACCCTTAGATACCACCCAGATTTTATGAGTTTCCTAGTACGTGGCTGGCAGGTCCCAATATTGCTTTCTCTCCCCAGAAATTCTTTTCCTCAGATGGAAAAGAAAATCAAGTCACCCAGGACCACACAGACGCCAAGGAGCCATCCCCAGCCTGGACGTGGGACCTGCCCTCGGCTGCCCCTCAATCCTGTGACTGTGGGAGCTGCAGGAAATGAGCCTCCTCATACGGTACACTAAAGTACATGGCGTGGAGGCTGGTGGTTGTTTACAATCTACACACAAAAAAGACAAACATTCTTTTGTACCACCCAGGAGCAAAGTGCACAGCTGGGACCCAATTGCTCCAAACCGGTGAATTCCAAGCACTGCCGACTATAAAAATTCCTTTCAAAGCCTTTAAGATATATACAGTGGGTCCTCCAAGTGCACAGGGACCCAACCAACTGTAGACCGGTTGCCACAATCTCTTCAGTTGTGCCTATATAGAACCTGCACGGAGTTGTTTCCTCGTCATTGATTCCTAGGCACTGCAATACTGCAGCCATTTCCACCGCCTTCACGCTGCTTTGTGTACGAGACACAGTGCAGAGATGACTGAAAGTACATGACGGGGGCAAGGACAGATCGGGAACTGAGAATGCCCGCTCTTCTTCTAGAGGACCCCAGCTCTGTTCCCAGCAGCCACATCAGGTAGCTCACAGCCATCCGGGACTCCAGCTCTGGAGAAGCTGAAGCCTTTTTCCAGCTTCCATGGGCTCCTGCACACACCTGACATGCACCCACATAGATGTATACACATACTACATACATGAAAATAAAGCTGAAAAAATAAACTATATGGATTCTGGAATGGGTCTCCCATGTCCATCAAAGGATATCTTTCTAGGTCCCAGTGTGACCAACCCTGAGACCAAAACTTCAAGAGGCTGCAGGGCACTCTGAGGAGTAGTGGAGACTGGGAACGACCTCACTTCACCACTGATCTGCCTCTTGATTTGAAGTTAACAGAATTAGCAATGGTGACTCATATTCAGTGAAAAAGCTAAGCTGGTATCTAATCCACACTGGAAAAAAAACAGACCTTAATTGTAATGTGCTTTTAAAGCAAGTACTTATAGAACCAGAGTAGGAGGAGGCCCCACCAACACACACACACACACACACACACACACACACACACACACACAAACGAAGTAAAGATATTACAGAAAGCAAAACTTTATCCTGTGTCTGAGACACATTCAAATGCATGACCATCCATGCAGCAAAACATTTGGCTTCTTTACGGCCTACACAGAAGCGGGCTCAACTTGCCCATGGGGCTGAATGGCCCCAGAGCCTTAGTGGTCAGGGGAGCCCTGGGGAGAGGTGACTGACAGAGCCTGGCTATGTGCTTCTGCATGCTTCTCCTGAGGGGAGCGGCTTCCGCCCCTGCCCCCACCCACGCTTAGGAAAGAACATTTCTAGGGAGATTTTTTTTTCCTTTTCCTTTTTTGATTGCTGAGGATTGAGACTCGGGCTTCACGTGTACTGAGCATACAGATATACCACCAAGCTACAAGCCCTGCCCCTAAAGACTATTTTGTTGGTGTGGATATTCAGGAACATTCTTGCATCCTTTTGACTCAAAAGCTGCAAACTGAAGAGCACAGGTTGGGATTTGACCCGAAGGCTATGTTTGCTTAGGATGTAGAGTCGTTTTTACCGTAGGAGACATCTTTTTTACTGTAGGAAGTGTAAGCAAGGGTACTGGAGAATCCTAATGGCTAGGCCCCCAAACTCCTGCTTGACAATTGGCTCTAGCTGGCTGGAGATTCTCCCTTTAGACCATGGGTAAGAGGGAGCCCATGGTCTCCAGCCTCCGCAGGGCCTGCTGTACTAGCTCTGTGCTGATTGGAGCCTGAATCTGTGGCCCCTGCTCTGGGTTATCTGGATTAATAACACATTAGCACACTGATGAGCAGGCCCAACTGATTCTTGGGCCATATTATGGCACTTACAGGTTTTTAGATTTTTTTAAATTGTGTGTGTGTGTGTGTGTGTGTGTGTGTGTGTGTGTGTGTGTGTGT